TATCTTCAACTCCTATTCTCTCATCTTTACTTTTTTGAAGTGATATATAGTCAATATTATCCAACCCAAACAACAAGTTGAAACAACTACTTCTTCTGCTGTTACTTCACAAATCATTACAAACCTGAAAAGAAAAGAAATAATAAAATACAAATAGGTGAGAATTTTCAAAAAATCAATCTCAGAACAACAAGCCTTTATTAATTGAAAATCTGCTCATTTGGTTTGGTTGAGTTTCAGTTGCTGCATATCTGCTAGATGTTTTCTGAAGTTGTAATTTGATTGGTCTCACTAACTTCTCAAATTTGGAATCAACTTCTCATCCAAGTCTATCTCCAGCACAATCTTCTCAAGTAAAGTAAGTAAAACTGATCAATAGCACCTCTTGAAAGATCCTCAATTGATTTTACTGACTGCCTCTGTGGCGTTTCTAGAATTTGGGATTTTAGAATATGAAACAATGACAAACAATCGAAGCACCAAAGAATCCACTTATAAACATTTAAAATTACAATCTAACAGATAATCCGACTAATTCAAAGCATTCATAAGAAATTGTAGATGATTCAATCGCATCACTAGCTTCATTGAATACATCAATCCAATTTAAATCAAACAATGCATTAACAATCTTACTCTTAAATCAATTAAATAAATTGACCATTTTTTCATCAGATTCAATTTGAGATGTATTGATCCTCGATCTCTATACTTCAAGTCTTTCCTAACTTAGGACTTGAATGTGATCAATTGATTCGATCATTTAATTGATTTATCTAACATCTTTCAAACTCATAATCAAAACATTCACAATCAACTATCTAATGTTAAATTTGAAATCTCTGGGTTTTTGGCTTGTGCTACAAATCATGAATTGATTAGAGAATTCAACAGTACTGAATTCAACAACTAACTTGAGCTATTGCTCTCCAAAGTTCAAGTTGAACTGTTCAGAATCGACAATCACACCTTGAGGTATAACTTCATGTGGTCATTCATTTTCTCAATTATATTCAAACTAACTGCTCCTGTGCCATTCAGATGAGTTTTCCTTTGATCTTGCTTCAATTCCAATTGTATTCAAATTGATCCCAGCCTCCTAAAAGTTTTGAACATCTCAGCTAATCAATCTTCATCTTATTTGCTTTTATTTCACCTAACAAGCTAGATTCATCATCATTATCAAGCCTTTGATTTTAATTTTGGGCAGGTTTTCCCTTGCACTTATCAACACTAGGTTAGTTCCCTCTCTGTTTATGAGTAATCCGACTTGATCTAAATTGCCTCCTGCCCCCCTTAACGCCATTCATCTTTACTAACATGATCTCCTTTTTGTGCCATCTTATCAACATATCTGTTTTAGTTACTATATGTTGTGATTGACTTTAAAATGTCTTATAATTGTAGTTCTTGAGCTATTCAATTCAAGCAACTTGTGCTTCTTTTTCAACTTAGTTTGCACTGATTACTCATTTGAACTTTCTTGACTTCAATCTCAAAGCAGCCAATGAAGAAATCAAACAGAATTAAATCTAGAAAACTTTGCATTTCAACAAATCACTCAACACTCAAATCAAAAGACAGTGGTTCCACCTGATCCATTCAATCAAACAAGGAATGGAGCTTGGTGAGCTCAGGTGAGCTCATCAAATTTGAGAAACTTAGTCTATACTCCAACAACAATCATTCAAATCATTTGTTTCTATGTAAATAGGCTTCACACCAATTATCTACACAATCTACTTATTTCACTCCATTTATTTATTAGGCTTCATGTATTTTAAGATTACGTTGTGCTTTAGATTCTTATAATAACAACTCAATCTGAGTGCAATTTATTTGCTAAACTCTATGGTCACTGATTCCATCTTACCCCAATCTGAAATGAACAAAACTCCTTTGATTCAATTTAGAAACTGGGATTGAATTTCCAGAATAAGAGTCTTCAGGCACACATGCAATAGAAAAGAGCTTTCTTAGAGCTACTGCTGCTTCTATATTATCTTATCCTGGATTAAACCAAAATCACCCCAATCACTCACTTGAGAAGGTGGAATGGGATTGAAAGAACAAGAGTTGATTAATGAATCTGAGGTGTAACACAAGAGCAATTCAATGTCAGTGGATTTATAGAACAGTTTGGCTTTTCACAGCTCACAATATCCTTGGCTCCAGTTCTTGAATCGAGTTTTGAATGCTTTTCAAATCAAATCAATCTGAGTAATGCAATCAGTTGACCAGTTACCTTAACATCAGGAATGGCCAAAAGTCTAATATCATCATTTGTCACAATACCCACTTCACATTCTATGAGGAGGAAATCTTTTAAGTTGATATTGCCACCTAAATTTGTACAGTAGAATATTTGCTTGATGGATCAAATGAACCTGATCAATTAACTCTGAACTTCAAGGTATTTTTATGTTCAAAACCTTGACAGTTTAGTTTGGGTCTTTGCTTTGTTGACATTCTCTAGTCAACCCACTATCTAATCATCCACAATTACACTGGAATGACGTATCCTTGAGATTGAAAATACTATACAAGCCTGATAACTTAACCTGAATGCACATCTTTGAGTGTCTCAGTTTTGCCCAATTTCTTGGTTCAACAATATATACAAGGTCTTTATTTACAAGAATTTCTATCATATCTTTTAGAGCTGAATTCCATTGACCAAGAAAATATGAGATCAACCAGCAGTCAAGGTGCCAATCGGTCAAAACATGCTAAAATTGGCTTTGGCAATCAAATAATGCAGTAGGATGATCAGCCTTTTGACTCTTGACTCCCACTGTTGCCAGTTTTAGACACAAAGTGCATCCAACTTTAAAGAAGCCAAGATATGACTGGATTCAGATTTTATTTTATTTGATCAAATTAATATGAATGGTTGAGAACCAGAAACAGATTCAGCTTTTATAGCAACAAGTTGATGCGGAAACAACCAAATCTGAATAAAGTCAAATTATCATCACCATCATTCACATGATGTAAACATTGACACCAAGTTTTTCATATCAATATCATCAATTGAGGATTGATAGTGTCAGGGCCAACATATTCATAGAGTTGGTGTTCATTTGCAGTTGTGTCGTTGTTTAGTATAAAACTCATTGTTTACCCAAGTCACATTAAGGGGTTTCAAATCAAGATATTTTTGTGTAGAATTTTTACAAAACAGACAAGTTTTTAAAGTTTTACAGTGCCTTTTTGTGTGCAAGTGTACACTAGACAGCTTTTGGGACACCTAAATAGGTGTGCTGAATTTTTGCGTTTGTGGTAAATTTTGCAGTCTTGGACAAGTGTTTGCACAGTAAAAATCCTGTAATAATGCAACTTGAAACCCCCTATTGTGTATTGTCTAAGCATCCTGCACACATCACCCACTTTTGATATCAATAGTGTTAGTTTTTACTCCAACTTTGTCACTCTGATTGATTGGTGGAAGACCCCACTTTGTCAATTCACATATCCTAAGTGACCACACCTATATTTTATTTTTAAGTTGTACTATGCTGTGTTGTCATAGACTACTATTTGTGTATGTGGATGACTTCACAACTACTCCTATAATGATCAAAAAAATATGTGTTATATATGCACACCTGTTCTGACCAAGAAAAAAAGTAGTGTTTTGATTTTTGAGCTGCTTGGAGAGTTTTTCAAAATCTGAAACAAAATGAATATTGATGTACTCTGATATGAAATCCATTAGGGGGTTAGGGCCTTGGGGTTGAGGCTTAGGATTAGGGGCTTAGATTTAGGGGAAGGATATTTTCACTCCACTCCCGGGGCATATGTCATCACCTCTGTTTAAACTTCCCATGATTCCTCCCAAACCGTGATCACATCACAATCAAAACTCAGAAGCATCATGGCCTCCATATTTCCTCTGCCTTCCTTCCCTTTAATGTTGTTTGACACCAGGAGGATAAGTTTAAAAATCTTTCCCAGATCAAGTTATCCATCACAAGAACAGTACACCTTTTCTTTATCATGATGACTTCAGTTGGCAATCTTTTTTGACCCCAAAGTTTGAATCACAAGGTATCCAACTGGCAGTACTTATTGGCAATCTGTATTGCAAGAGCTCCATGGTGCTCCCCTGGTCAAGTCAAAAAACCCCAAAAATTATGTTCTTGCAGCTTGGAACAGGTGGAGTATGCGCAATTCAGAATTAGTGGGGTCTTTCAAGGGTCATGTTCTATAGTCTCACTTTAGATCTGCATTCAATTGTGTCAAAATATTGCTAAGTATCATACTGGTGTATCTAATCTGAGCCATAGCAAGCTATAATGCAGTGCCATACTTCATGCCAGCATGAGTCTGCTATCTAACACAACAACATCCCAATTGAATAGAAATTGGTGTATCTCCATGACTCTTTGACTTACTCAGTTATGGAGCCAGTGTGACCAAAACAGCTACTTAGTGTGGAAGAAAAATATTCTTAGGCTGGCATTGTGTTACTCAGACTTTATGAAGTAATCTTAATAATATGGGGAAATAGATTCTACTGTGCTGTAATACCACCAATTAACCCTGAAGAAGCTTTCTTCCTTGAGCAATATGTGACTTGGCATATCCTGTAGCATGCTATGTGACTTGAACCAAGGTAAACCACTTCTGTCAGTGCGGCGCCCGCTGCCCAATCTGGCTGGTTGCATGATAAAAGGGATTGTGTTGTTCCACAAAACACCGCCTATTCTACAAGTAAGAGCAGAGAATGACATATTTGAATGGTGCAATTTATCTGAGGAGAACCTTGAGGAGTTTGAGGGGGGGATAATAATTAAGAAATACGTACATACTGATTATCATATGGCATATAATGAGTGTACTTTTTCACCTAATTTTAGGAAGCAATAGTCAATCTTCAAGTTTGAACTCTATTCATTATACTACTCTATCAACAATAAAATACTCCAATGTTGACACAATCAAGAAAGTCAGACCAAGAGGCTATACCAAGAGCGCCAAAACGCTCAGCCTCAAGCATGGACCCTGAGAGCACTGGAAACTCAGAAGATAATATGAATCTGCTGGTATGTTTTCAGAAATTTTTATACAGATTTTTACAGAACGTGTATTGAATTTATACTGGATAGATCAATATAAAGGAGCAAGAGGCTAAACTTACGGAGCAAGAGCGTAAACTTGAGCAGCAGGAGTCAAGACTGTCTGATTTCAAGGATCTGGTTCAGAAGTCCTATTGGTGTCAAGCTGCGAAGTTGGAAGACAATGGTGCAGAGCTCTGTCAGGTAAGACTCCTCATCCAATTTCATAAACAATTACCTATCTAATCAATTTTGTAAATATCACATCTTATAGATGAAGAAAAGAATATCCAAGCTCGAAGAATTTTTTCGCCATCATAGTGCTGAGGTTGACAACAATCATCAAGATCTTTATCATGTAAGGCAGATGATCTCTTTCAATAAAAAACATGCAATGTAGATCTGTTTTTAAATAGTATGCATTTGTAGATCAGAACAAGCATAGACGACCTTGATGACAAGTGTGGAGACCTTAGTCATCAGGCTACTGGACATGCGGAGGAACTTAAAGCCGTCAGTTGGTTCTCATATACAGCATGTGCAACAGTTGACTCAAATTTGCTTTTTTCCACAGTTAAATAGCTTACATAAATCACTTGAAAATCAGATTCATAAACTGGCCCGTAGAGAAAAAACAAAGGACAAGACGATTGGTGAAGAAATACGTGAGGAGCTTGCTGAGCATTTATATTGTATCATAAGCAGAGTATGTCCTTCTCTTCTGACACGTGTATCTTGCAATGTATGTATTGTGGGTTAATCCATCTAACCATTTTGTTTCTGAAAATTCTAGATTTCTGATATACAAAATCAATCGGCGACAAGAGTCACACTCAGTAGCCAGATAAAAGAGGTAATGAGATGAGTTCCATCTGATGTTGTCACAACACAATCAAATCTAAAATCGTTTGAACTTTGATCTGTAGCTACAAGAAAAAGTTATGCATCTTCAAGAAACAGCAGAGAAGGATCAATCACCTCCCACTGATGGGATGTACTCGGCAGATCAGGTGGGTTTCCCATACAATATGAGAGGTGATTGTGTCATTAATTATCCTATATCTCTTTCAGGTTAGCCCACCAATGGCCACCTCAAGCAGTTCAAATGCCCAATTACCTGATGAAGAAGTGGATGGGGATAGCACCGGTAATAAGACCCTGAAGTCTCTCATCAAGGAAGAACTTCGAAACCTTGCCAGTAAATACGACAAGCTCAATGACCATTTGATAGAATGCACAAAGTTTGCAGACAAAATTTAATGTGATCAATGAAATTATCACTTGATTATATTATATTCTTCTCTTCTTTCTACTGTATGATTCATGACAGGTATAGATAACCAAGTAATATGTTGAGGTTTAAAATTCACATACATCTAAAATCAGTGGAATCTTATCATAATCTATATTTTAATTTCCATTGATTATCTTTACCCTTTATTCTTATCATTCAAAATATGAAATGAAATGTAAAATTATGATCTAGAACACACACTTCTTAAAAATGCCATGAGCCTCAGAATTATTCCCTCCATCCAATAATGGAGTTAATCATCAGCGACAAAGCCTGTAAGAGGCTGCACAATCAGGCATAATAAGCACTTTTGGGAGAGATATACAGTCTTTAAATGATTATACATGGACTGAGCAAGGATATCAATGGCAGGTGAATTAAATGTAGAAACAAGATGAGACTATTACATATCACTTGTGTAAGAATTCAGACTGAGTATCTTGATGATATACATGAACTATCACAATACATTATAAGCGTTCATCAATTAACTGTCCCATCACTTTGGCTGAAGTACAACTGTGATTTGACTGAAAGAATCCCACGAGGTTATACTCTGTTACATCTGTAAGACTAAAATACTGCCACACCATAACTGACACTTGGATTGTACCTGTCATTCCAAAAGATTGATGGAATCAAGAAGAATACTCCCCAGGCACATATTACAATGATCAGAGCTACAATTGAATAATTAGCTGTATATAAAGGGGGGATCCATTGTCAGCTTTCTTTGTTTCATTTGATCTAATGACTGATCAGATTGAAGACCAGTAACTGGTCACAGAGATTGGAAGTAACTCCACGGTCTTTGCAAATAAGAATAGATCTTACTTCTTGTGGTACATTCTTCAATAGAATCTTCAATTTTCAATGAAGCATCAAGGTGTTTTTAACCCTCAACTTCAGTCTCAACCTGTTTGAGAATGCCATTTTCTGTGAATGGGTATAAGGAACCACCAAGTCAGCCCACAATATAATTAGACACCAGATATTTCTCTCACTTACCCTCAGTTCTGAGAGCTTCAGAATCAAGATCATCTTCTTCAAGTAATTTTTGTGCTTCACCAGTTTCTGATTTCATAGTTGCCTCAATTTCTTTAAACTTGGCAACAATAGCCAGTTTCAAATCATCTGCATTCATGATCAAGTGGCTGGTGCACTGGATTAACCTTTTATCTTGGTGAACAAATGGTTGTTAAATGATGGAGACAAGTGATATAAAAGGTTGTTCTTCCATTTGAATACTCTCATGGAAATCTATATCAATTTTGAATTCTAGGGATGCACCTTGGGAATTCTATGATTCAGTTCTCAAGGTTTGATTGGGAGAAAGGGTTTCTCAGAGGGATATTCTTGTCCTTCAATGGATTTACCAGGTCTATGGGCTAGCAACCCCAACAATCACAGAAGCTGAAGTCTGATAAACACGCAGTCAGTATCTTCATCCCACCGCCAAAGGTTCTATTTAAACACCCTTGGACTTGATGTCTGTTGGAATCATCACCTGATCATTCAGAGACATATCAGATGAATAACCAAAATAGCTTTGGTCATTGGGTAGGTCTTGCAGTGTGATGGGTGATACAACTTATAGTAAAGCATCTGATCACCTTCTTAGCTCTTGCGGCAATTTTGGTGGCCCTGCGTAAGTGATATTCCACTTTCTAAGCTGTATTTGCTCATCAAACTTCTGACTTCCTGTGATACCATCAGGAAATTTCACTGAAATTCACAAGATGCATAGAATGTTGGAACAAATCACGTTCACAAAATGGTTTATGTCACATTTCTATTTCATATTATGTTTACTAATGATTTAATACATGTTGTAATTTGTTACATGACTTTACTCACAAACTTTGTAAGTTTCCAAACCTAATCACGTGATGTACCGCTAGTTTTAGTTCATCAATCCATCCGGCCTGAGAGAAGCTTTCTTTCTTTTCATTCAACTATATTGAAAGCTTCTTCTCTACAACCATTATATCATCTCATCACTCCGGATTACTCATTCCTTCTTGACTTCTGACTGATATAATTGTTGTTTGGGATTGATCAAGGAATCTGAGATTCCTATATAGAAGACTCAATAATTTGGAGGAAAAAATGCAATGGATAAATCAAACACACCAGTCACACTTGAATATGATGTTAAAGATGTTTGGAGAAGAAGGTATTGAAAAGAATCATGACTATACAACCAGCCTTGTACAAGACATCAACCAACTAATACAAGCCTCAGAGGAAGTAAAGTTTATGGCAGAAGAAGGCATCAAACAATGTACAAAAGATAGAATTGGACACCAGGACTATGCTGCATTGAAGACTGGCAGGAGTGTAATTTCAAAACTAACATCAAGCTCAGTAAAACCAAATACAAGGAGTACATGCCATGACTTCTCCATTCCACTTTTAAAAGACAACTCAGCAGATCTTTGTGGTCCTGAGATAGAAATATTTGGGGATTCATCAGCTGGGGAATGTTGGGCATTTTCAGGTATAGTGGGCCAGATTGGAATTGATTTAAGCCATCAAATCATAGTTGAATCAGTAAAAATTGAGCATATTGGATCAGAGATGGCACAGGGAAACATAAATTTGGCACCTAAGAATTTTGAGGTTTGGGGTTCAAGAGCAGTGGGGAATGACTATGAGGAGGTATTGTTACTCAGAGGGATTTACAATATTACAAATTCTTCAGTGATACAAAATTTTGTAGTGACAGAAGGCAATTTGCAGCAATTCTACAAGAAGGTTATTTTAAAAATATTATCCAATCATGGGAATCTTCAGTATACATGTTTGTACCGGGTCAGGGTCCATGGAAAACAGTTCTGAACTGTTTCTTATCACTATATTATGTGATATATAATTTATTTTCAACTTTAGACTACATACCTCTGAGCTTTAATGGGATTAGGATTTATGGCAGCCTCCTCATCTGAGCTGGATTCAAAGGGGAATGAAACCAAATGTACAAAGGACTCCTCAACATTCTGTAGAATTTGAGTGCCAAGATCTTCTCAGTTTGGCTGATTTTGTCTGTATGAGGCTAACAAAATCAGTTATGCACATTCCTGAGCTTATTTTATATTTAAATAAGGCACATGTAGTAGCTATTGAGATTCTACCTTCAGGTTCCAAAGGTATCATTTTTCAAGTCACACTTTTAAACTATAGCCAGCTTCCAGGTTTCCTGCAAATTCAAACATAATTTTATGATGAAGGTTCCAGACCACTGCAGAAGTGAATCCTTCTCTCATATCACTCTTTTGAGTATTTTTACAAAAAGCAAAGATGTGATGGCCATTCATCATCCTCTCTTAGACTCTCCAGTATTGCATAAAGTTTCCCTTGCACCAAAAGAAGCCCAATCTAAAATGTGTATGAGTATGTACCTACTCCTCACAAAGTATCAACCCAATCAATAATTTTTGAGCTAACACATCTTTTGCCAGAAAAAACCAGTCAGAAATTCTCAAAAAATTGGTCTGATGATTACCTGATCTACAATCTTATTCAAATCAATGATTTGGCATCAAGCCTTGGAATCAAAGTGGACATTGTCAAAGACAGTGACCAACACCAGAAAGTCTTTCATATTCACCCTTCAACAGGCTCACAATCAAGTATGCATCTGATTTATATCAAAAGATTAATTGAGGAAGTTTCACCATGCCACATAATTGTGAAGGAAGATCAGAGGCAGGTAGCTTGGAGGAAAGCAGCTTGGTTTCTTTTAACCTTCCTAACACTTGGCAATGTTATCTGGGATAATATGGTATGCAACTTTGGAATCTCTCAAATCATCTACGAGCAAGCTTCAACATACATTCTACGGGCATGGATTGTTCTTTCTTTGATATCATGGTGGTTTCATAGAAGAGGTATCCCTACTTATCTTGTTGTATATCTTTGACAATCCCATTGCTTGAGGATTGGGGTTAGAGAATCCCATCACATAATAGATGCAAAAAGTTGAATTGTCAATCAAATTACTAATACTCACTAGGCCTACTCAATCTATGCACAAAGCTGATCTGTTGGACTTACTGATGGCAAAACCTCTCTGTTATTCTCAGAATACCATAGTGGCTATGAAGTAAAAAACTTCTTGGGTGGTCATTTTGTTCTGAATAGTAAGACATGTGAATTTTAGTTGGGCTGAACTATTGTGCTCTTCTGATTTGGACATATTCATTGAACACCCTTTTGACTGATAGGAAAGTGCAGGTGTTTATCCACATTAGAGTGAAGACCATCAGATCTCTTCTCAGATCTCTCAAAATAAAACAATTGTAGTACTTTATCGAATGATAATCAAGATGTAAACATATTGTGATATTGGATCAACAGCTATGGTGTGTTAGACCATATGAAGAGACATGAATGATGCCAGAAATGATACCATTTGGCTTGAAGAAGACAAAGACAATCCTCAGTTGTTACAATGTGTATTCTATTCATGTTGCACCTCCTCTTTTATTTTTGGCCTGATAATCATCAAAATTCAACAATACTTTCCAAACTCAAACAATGATTTGAACCAAGATCACAATGAAATCCATGACATACTACATTGCATTTATATCCACTTGACAACAACCTCAAATCAGGATATTCAAGACCAAGTACTGGCCTATCTGTGATAATTCATCTCTTTCACCTTCTTAACTTTGACAACCACACCAAACAAACATTGGTATTAAAGAACCTCAATCCTGATGGAAAAGATCTGCTTGGGGTTTGATCTCTGTAATCCCTTTATGAGCTATATAGAATGTACAACAAAGGATGGCTTGATCTTATTCATGTCCCGTTACAATGAGTAAATAAAAAGCAAAGTTAACAATGCACTGTGTCTGAATTTCTTTGTTGTATGTCTCTTATTGATGAAGCAAATGATGCAATAGAAAAGCTTTTGTTAAAATCCTTTCAGCAATTCTTCAACATTTCTAGTTCATTTAAATGGCCTCCTCTGGATGTAAGTTTTCTATCTCTCCTTAATTTTTTAATTACCCCTCACCAAGAAGACTGCCTAGTTCTCACTCGGCGTATTCTTCTCAGCGTTGTTTTTGCTGATTTTCAGGCCCACTGTCAGCTTTCTTTTTGTTTGATAGCACGTAGCTGACCAATTACTTACTATTTCTTACTCATCTGGACAGATATTGAAAATGCCTATCAGGGTTCATATAAGTCTCAGGAGCCATTCTGGCACTTCTCAGTCACCTACCACTCCTAAAATTGAAGGTCAAAGACGCTCTCAGAGACTTATTAAAGCCAGAGCCCAAAATATTTCTTGTCAAAAATTAATGAGGAATCAACACATCCAAGCTAGACACCATCACTCATTGGGCTTCCAGCAGGATGGATTTTATGTTTTACCATCAATACATGATGACCCAGAATTTTGGAGAAGGATATTCACCTTGCCAGATGATTTGATTCAATATCTCAAACCTAGATCTCCACGCAAATTAACTTATATCAAACTCCAGAGGCTCATTGGACATTTCAGGCCAGGTCATCACATCAAGAGTGGATTAAGACGGAAGCAGCTCATGGCCATGTTCAAATATCATGTGGTAAAAAAATATGGCATGTTTTATGAAATTTGAAGTCAAAGTAGAAACTTCTAACAACTACCTGATTACTGTGAAAAGATTGCCTAAGATTTAGTTGAAGTTGTGTCATGAACCAATATAGTTTGCCTGAATTATCAATGTGTTTATATGGAAGCTTTCTTTGAATATTGTTTCTCTTCTTGTCAATGTCAATGGGTTTTTGTAATGTCAGATTTCTCTTGATTGATTATTTCCAAAGAAAGTATCAAGATTGGTTTCTTACCTATCCAAAAGTTGAACCAAGGAGAAGACCTCAAATGAAGTCTCTCTTTTTTGATCAATAAATAAACTACATGATGCCTTCAAGGATAATATGTCACCCAGAACATCAAAATCACAAACTTCTTTTGTACATTTTGAAAACCAATCAACATAAATTATAAACCACTTCATTTTCATGTAGAAAATTTCTCTTTATCACTTATTTCACCTCCTTCAATTTATCTTTATCAACCTAGAGAACCTATCATTACATTTAAAAGTGTAAGCATTTAAAGTCTGAACTGTTATGTATTTGCGTTTTGGAACTCAATGTAGTTAAAGGCGGGCGAGCCCGCCCTCGCCCGCCTATGTTCTAGTGACAGCTGTATTTCATATTCAGCTTTGTTTCATCCAATGTGCACATGCTTTACAATTTTTTGAGTTCCTACCCATGCCCAAACTTGACCAAATTTCAATGGAGCCTCCAATCAGTCATTAACTGTTTGTATTGGTTGGATGTGGTGATGGATGCAGGTGGTGATAAATTCACTGAATGTGACAAAACTCTGTCCAATATTGGGCCCATACAGCTTTCTCTTTATTGACACATGGTGATATGAGGGTATTGGGGCTCCTGGATCCAGAGAATCCCAGAAAATCCAAAGGGAAGAGGAATCTTTGTGCAAATTTGATGGCTGAAAGCTGTGGTAACTGCAGGTATATGGGACCACTATTCATAATCATCATGGGCTCTGGTATGTCTCACAAGTGTCTTGGCGTGTTACACGGCCTGCTGGCTTTTGTTTTTTCCCACACAGGGTGCATATGAGATGAACGGGGTGGCAATGCTCTAACACAGCGCCTTTGGCAACCACAATTTGGGAGTCAAAAGAAAAGGTATAAATAGACCTCCCTCATCTCAAAAGACAGAGGAGGCATCTGATTTTTACTTACAACCATTTTTATAGAGATATCTATAAATAAAATAAATCCCTCAAAGCCCAACTATCCATTGTTCCTAAATATCTCAGTTACAAGATATCTTATTTTCCACTTTTCCTCATTTTTCTTCATATTTTTTCATTATCATTAAAAACTTTTTCAAAATTCCTTCAAGAGACTTTGGAGTAGCGGCCAGGTTGGCTGAGCTTGGAAAAATTGCTGATCTAATCGGTTATTTAATCAACAGACTCAAAAGCCAACTTGAGTAAGTCACAAATCTTTCTTTATCAAAAATCGTTTAATTTTATTATCCAGAAAAACTGTGTTGTCTTTTTAACATCTTATCATTGTTGTTGTCACGTTTCAAGTGCACAAAAAGTCCTAGTGCAATCAGGCCCTCCCAGCGGACCACCAGGTACTACGGGAAACCCTCAAATTATTAGTGACACACAACTGCCAAGGCAACGCACCCCAGACCCATGGTCCAATCAGGAGTACTGGGGGGATATTGACTACTACAGCCACCAAGATTACTAGTAAGCAAAAGCACCAAATTGCAAATCCCACTACAATCATGTGTTTTTAATTTGTCCTTGCTTTTTTACCTCTTCTTGTCTTTCCACTATGCCTTCCAGAAAATCTGGCCAGATTAACCAATGAAAATCGATTGATGAGAGGTATGGAGATGATATTACTGTGACTGATATGTAAGTCAAAGCATCCATTTTTTTACATATGTCCATCTTGTCATCAACATGAGGATTCAACTGATGACTTATTCAAAATTTGTTTTGCCTTTAAGTTTACCATTTCATTCTTTTTGCTTTGTTTTTTTGGATGACTAAGTTTATAACAAAAAACCACAAATCAAAAATAAAAAGGTTTTGCATCCATAAAATTGAATGAACCTGAGGAAAAAAATCATCAAAAGGTTATGGAGTTTCCAAAATTAAAGTTGAATCAATTGGATCCCCTAAATTGTAATTCATATTTTGTTTATCTTTTCCCATCTTTCTCTTTTTTGTTATTCTTTCTAAATATCAAAATGCAAGACAAAACCAATGAAGATTTGTGTCTTCTTCCAAGTTTCTATTTTTTGAAAGGTGATCTATGAGCACCTTTGAGTTTGCAGTCTTTTTTTCACAGAAACACCCAAAACAAGAAATGAGGTTTCCTTTTCACAACATTTACCTAGAATGGAAGTGGTACACGTAAAAAACCCCAGTGATTATATTCCCTCAAGACATCCTATCTTGATTGTCCCTAAAGTGATATATTCCTCTGACTTTTTGGGTTTTGGGGGCATGGATATATATGGGGATGAACTCATTATATCGATTTCATGAGGATACGGTAGATATGAAGCCTTGCTTATGCTTCAAATCCTATTGTTGATTGACACCAGAGTCTCTCATCAAGAGGTTCAACTTAATAAACAAAATTGAGGGTACACAGTAAATAGATGTGTTTGTGATGATCCACTCAAATTGATCCATTACATCCAAAGACCATATACTTATAATTACAATGTGGATGGAGTACTGGGTCAGACAAACTTATCAAAGTCCAATCGTACCTTGGATTTATTAACGACAAGTCGTTTCCGAGGTACGAGGGACTTACATGTTATGTTGTGATTTTGGCACGGAAGGTTTTGAGATTTAGTAGAGGAAAAATCGATTTTCCTCTACACTCACCCACCTCTCATGCCCCAGTCCCATAGTCATACCAAAGATTCTCCTGCTTCTTCTGAAGAGATCACTCTCTTCAGAATCCTCGAAAAAAAATCAGGAAAGAAGTTTTCATTGAGACGAAAACATTGTCTTCAGTGATTTTGAGAATCGACTGCGGATTACAGAAATCTGTATGTAATCTCAAATTTCAATTTGGCTGTTTTTTTTCAATATCCCTCTATTACAATAGGAAGCACCCTTTTGGCTGAGAATATTCAGCATGTTTGAAACTGCAATATGAATGGGTCATCTGGACTATGTAGGAACCCCAAGTCGTGAGCAAGATGCCTCTGTTCTAAAAGGACTTCCGAAATGAAGAAAGGTCGATATTGTTAAAAGTACAGACTCGTACCAGATCACACATCATAGTTCAAGTCGAAGAGAAGACTGTTTAAGCAAAAGAGATATCAGATCTTGACACCAAGGTTGGGGAGCTTGGAAAGTTCATTTGATGCATGAGACGTACTGCTTTCCCCATCTTTGAAAAGAAAGGAACGCACCGTCTCATTTTTTCATCGTTGACTTTTCTTTATCCTGTTTATTCGAACATCTTCATCGTTTCTGATTCATATACAAATCACATTCCAAGATAAAATCTATCTTGACATGGTTCGAAAATTACGAAACAAGAACAAAGAGATGTCCCTACCTCCCATAATAGAGGACAAAGATGATCCCTTAGAAACCACTCGGCCATTGTTGCCTACCAGTTTGGTGAAAGGTTCATTGTCACATCAAAAGAAGATTGTGAAGAGCGAATTCAAAAGAAATTTTCAACAGACTGCAAAAGATGTTCAAGCAGACACTATTGTTAGCGTTATGAATGGATTCAACACAATGCTCCTGGCGAGTACTGGCTTTGGGAAGTCGAGAATTGCGCTTTCCTACTTGCTTCTGTTTCCACTTGAAAAACTCCCGGTCATGATTGTCATAAATCCTCTGGATGCTTTAGGCAATAATCAAGTCAGTGCTGTTTGACAGTTCCTTCAATCTAAAGCTGATCAATATCACTGATTGATATGTAACTATTTTGTTGATGGAGTTAGGTACTAGAGCTCCTGCCAGGGATAACTGGAATCAACCTCACCAAGGTTTCAGCAACTGATGAAGATGTATGGAAGAAGCTAAAGAGTCACTTCTATCAAGTGATATTCTTGGTATATATTTTTCAAACTTCTTCATTTTATCATCATCAATCAGCTTTCTAATCAACTGAATGTTGCAATTCTAAATAGAGTCCTGAAATGTTCTTGAATAGTAAGAAATTCCAGAACTTGTATTATAGTCCAGATTTTCAAAAACACCTAGTTTTGAAGGTGGTTGATGAAGCTCATGTCATCTATTCTTGGGGTCTTGTTGCTAGCAGACATACAAAAGGTCTACAAAGTCACAATCAACTTGCAGATGTATGCAAATTTAGAGCTTCTTACGGAGATCTTGGTCAAACCCTTGCAGCTACTGATAAAGTACCAGTGCTTCTGCTTTCAGCGACTTGTCAACCAATTTGCATTGAAAGCATCTGGAATAGCCTTCACTTGACGCCGCACAACCGTGTTCTCATCCGAGGCGAGCTAGTTTGGCCGGAAATACGATTCATTCGCATGTATCTCACTCGACCATTGAGCACAGCCAAAGATCTAGCTCAGCTGATTCCACACCAGTCTGTAGTCAAAGATGAAAACCTTCCATCAACTATAATATACTCTGGCCAGCAAGACTCGACTCTTGTTGTATCCCAGCAAGTTCATATTGCTCGAGGAAACCCAAACGGTGCAAACAATGGAAATAGCTTATGTTGTCGTAATTATCATGCGGCTACGGGTCCCAAGGATAAGCTCACTCGAGCTGATGAGTATGGCAAAGGCAAATTTTGTGTCATTTCTGCAACAACAGCGCTTGGTTTGGGCCAAGACTGGCACGAGGTACAATCTGTTATCATCATGGGTGCAATGGATCCAAATGTTATGAGTCAGATGGCAGGAAGAGGTGGGAGGGGTGGGAAAGATAGTGTAGCAATAATGCTAGTCGAACCTCACCGATCAATTGGGCAGAACTCTATGGAGGATTTTGACACAAATGCCGTCATGAATGACGACGACCGGATGCACGCCTTTCGAGGCACTTCGGTCTGTCTACGTGTTGCGTTGAACGCTGATACATTGTAAGTCTTTGTTTAACTGATTATAATTATAATTACATTTCCCAATTGATGGTTTGATTAACATCTTAGATACGGTCATTTTCCTCTGACGGTTGATGATGCAATCTATATCAAAGAGAGGGATCAACAAGCTGCCGCTGGGATGAAGCCTTGCCAATGCTCAGTATGTGATCCTGCTGGCGCAATCCAGCTCATTGAGGCTCTTAGAACACTGATCGCATCGGATTCCAGGAGATGTTGAATTGACCTACAATCCCAATGAAACTGCCTGAAGAAAGCTTCCTGAATCCTCTTCCGATGTTGCCGCCACTGCCAAAGTCCTTTGCAGGAAGACCAATCCCTTGCACCGACAATGACGAAATCTACTGCTCAACTACAATGATAGAACTAGCTGCAGATCTAACAGAAGCCTTCATAGACTCTTTCACAAATACTATCCGGACGGATCCGATCTAGATCCGATCCAGCTTTTCAACTACAAAGAACTATGGATAGTGGTAAAGAATTATGAAACTGTTCTATTAGGGCAACATCTCCGAGGAATTTTGGTTAGTGAGCCTTTACCAGGAACTTTTGAATTGATCATCAAAACTATTGAGCTATGGAACACATCAAAAAGTTATCTGGCTCATATTGAGAAAAAAGAAAAAGAGAAAGCAAAAGATTTGGCAGCTTGGGAAGAAGGGACTCGGATTTGGCTTGCATATGAAGAGAAGATGAGAATTAAAGACACTTTGGCTGAAGAAAAGAAAAAAAAGGCTGCATTACGAGTTCAAAAGCGTTTGGAAACTGAGGCTCGTAGACTTCGGGAAGAACAAGAGGAGAGGACTAAATTACAGCTTCGATTACACGGAGAAGCTTCATTGTAACCCTTGCTGTAAAAGTAAGTCTTCCGCATTTCTCTTCTAGCTTTCTAGCATTTATAGCTTAGTTCTGACACATTTAACACTCATGATTTCTCTATATTTTCATCAATAGTGAAGCCTGATAAGGACCCCCAGCCAAAGCAACAGGGTGTGTGTTCCCAATCTTCTTTCCTAATGATGGACTTGAACTTTGCAATACCATCAGCATGTATATCATTCAATGGGGCCAAAACCGAGGTGTTGCGTTTGGTTAGAATGAGTTTGTGGTCGGCAAGGTGATCGCAAACCATGTGCATGAACCTAGTAAGGGATTCTGGGCTTATTGGATGTTTATTGTTCTGGTATACGTGTTCTAGACCTGATCTAAGACAAAGTTGACAAATCAAGTGTTGTAACTACACAATTTGAAATTGTCAGTTTTTCACCTATTTTTGTAACTTCCAAGGCCAATTCAGAGTTCTCTTACCAATGGCACATTGAGTGACAATCTGTCAATCAATTTGTCAAGATCAGTTCCTCACCCCTGGTAGAATTTGAAGGGATTTCAGTTAGACAGTCTGTTCATTGTAAGATCTTGAAATCAGTATGAAAATCTCACCAAGCAATTATAAAAGTATTTGATCCAGAAATTCTGGATCTCAAGGTAGAAGTCTTTAGTAACCCAGTGACCCTCTCGACCAGCAGAAGGAATTAGTAAACAGTGCTTTATAACTCTTGCAAATTTTTTGGGTAAATATTTTTCTAAAACAAGTATGTATTGAGGAAGATGAATAGCATAAGAAGTCAATCTCTTGATACCTTGCGCCATAATAGCCCATCTTTTCCACATTGACATAACACGTCCAATATCACCAGCGCGTATAGCATAATCAGCTTCAACAATTGTCGCAAAGTCACGTAATCTCAAGCGTAGGTTGTAGAGGGCGTTGTCCTCAGCCTTCTCAGCTTCTTGTATAGAATCACCAGTGAAATATTTATCATAAACTTCATCAATCAAACATTGAGCAACACCTGGATTTCTAGGATCAAATCCACTACCCTTAGAAGTGTTGAACTCCCTATGATTACAAATACATGGATCAGATTAAAGCCATACATTTTAAACAATGATTAGAGCAAACAGCAGAAAGGACAAACTTCTGTAAAAAAGCTAGTGTTGCAGAATGAATCTTGTGCACTGCTGTCATCAAAGTTCCAAAGTCTTTATTATCAAAAAGCTTGTCAGCTTTGATTCCTAAGCTTGCAGCCATACGATGAACTCCAGGATCTTGGGAATCTTTTGGATTTCCAAGATAAACATCAGCAATTGCACTTGTCAAGTTCCACATAGTATGTGATCCGGCTAAACAACGCATAAGAATTTGTAGACTTTCTTCAGGATGTCCAGCTGGATATTGCTTTTTAGCCGCAGAGTCAAAGTTTTGAAGAGTACCTAGATTGCCTTCTACCTGTTGAACATGTGAAGCAAAATCTTCTGGCTTCAATCCAAGCTGTTTGATCAGCTGTTCAAGGACTTGTCCAACACTATTCGCCGAGTTTTCTGAAGCTGTCATTAGTTTGAGCATATAAATTTCGGGCTTGTACATCTGGATAGGATCAACGGATGGTGGTACTGATTCAAGATGAGTTTTGCAATAATTATAAGCGGGTGAATTTTTATCTAACATCAGTTCAAGCAATGCATTAACTAATTGAGAATTTCTGGCTAATCTGTGATGTGATTCTTCGGCATTTGTTGGTAATAGATCATGTAAATTGACAGGCGTAGACTTGCTACGTTCCATTGCATCGTAAAATGTGTCAAGACTAACATCTTCAGGTGTGATATCCTCGGTTGAATGCTCAGGTACTAGATGTAAATATCCCCAAGTGCCGTGTAAAGTCTTCATGGTCGAGTCTACATTACCATCATGGACTGATGATTGTATATCTATATTATCTATACATAATAATGGTCTGATTTTGTATGATCTAGCAGCAACTGATTTAATTTTTTTTGTGGTTTGTTCTTTCAGGGTATCCATGGCTTCATTCACTGCCTGTTTAGATAGTGATAAGCCTAGGAAGTGTAAGAAGTTGTTCATCTTCTCTGTAACACCGCACGCGAAAAATGTCAATGAATTTTGAAGTTGCATTGCTGAATGTCTCCTATTACAAGCAAAACCAATCATTGAGCATACTATGGCCGGTAGCTGCGTACAATGTTTTAGTTGAATGTGTGATATCAGTTCATGATCTTTCAAAATCCGACTTGAGTTGTCTTTAAAACAACTAACCTTGTTCAATCTATGTTCCTCGATTCTAGGTAGCGCGTTGGGAGATCTTCTTAGGAATTGATCACCATCATTATTGCCCTCAAGGTCTTCAACTTCTTTGTGTTCTCTTTTCTCTTTTTTTTCCATCCTAGCCGCACTTCGACTATCACACATCTCGGTTGCATACTCCAGCTTGGATTTGATTAAGCTATGCAAGAAATCCATGCTTGATTCAATCACACTCATACGTTCTTTCTTGGCGTTGTCATCAAAAAATTTGTGTGTCACATTCTTTGAGTGATAATACATGCCATCGGGAGGTTTGCCACTTGGAGGATCTTGGTGATTGACAATTTCTTTCGCCTTTGAATAATATGAAGACAAGGATTGATCAGACAATAAGCTTCTTAACTTTGATGCTGAGTTTGTTACATAATATTTCCTATCTTACCTCTTCCAAAATAAACTCTTTGGACCATCGGGTGAGCCCATTCTCTTTATCATCCTTGTCAAGCCCTCCTATTGTTGTCATCAGAAGCTTTGTCGACTGCCAGCCTTCGCTAGTCCCCCACTTCCCGTGCCGTTCCTTGATCACCTCGTCGTCAATGGTGAGAAAGTTCTGGATGAATTTTTTTGGACTCATATCCATTTCATTGATAAGCTTGCAGATCTTGATCAATCGCTCATTCATAGGTGGAAGAAGTGGAAGTTTGGGTGTGTTTTTGTTTTTTTTGCCATTTTCAACGATCTGAAGTACAATCAAACAAAGACTAAGTGGATATAAAGATAGAGAGCCGCACTCTCTACTGACTTTACATTCAGACCCACATCTTTATCCGATCGCATCCAGAGTTCTCATTGAGAACTCAATTTTTTATTCTCTCACTGATTGTTGCTGATTGAAATTTGAGATTACATACAAGTCTTCCTGTAATTTCTCGCAGCGAGTCAATTTTTGAAGACAATGTTTTTGTCTCAATGAAAACTTCTTTCCTGATTTTTTTTCGAGGATTCTGAAGAGAGTTATCTCTTCAGAAGAAGCAGGAGAATCTTTGGTATGACTATGGGACTGGGGCATGAGAGGTGGGTGAGTGTAGAGGAAAATCAATTTCTCCTCTACTAAATCTCAAAACCTTCCGTGCCAAAATCACAACATAACATGTAAGTCCCTTGTACCTCGGAAACAACTTGTTGTTAATAAATCCGAGGTACGATTGGACTTTGATAAGTTTGTGGGTCAGATGAGGTCAGATGGGTACCTCACTATGTTGGTGTAGATCAAGTCTAGAAGAACAATATACAATGCTGACACAATACTTCCTTAGAATATGAGACTTTAATTACCAGTGCATATTTTCTTGAATAATTCAGTGACTAGCAAAGTTGACTCTTTGATACCAAAGCAATTATCTGGAGTCTCCCATAGAGATACATGACTTATCAGCTCTTCTGCTCTGATCAAATCTTTTTTGTTCTGTCTTTTGTAAACAAGTGTCATTTTGGCATGGGGCCAATTTGTGAGACCATGTACCTTTTGATGAGTAGGTGTCAGGTCATCAAATCTTGTGATTTCAAACCAAAGTTGGAACTGATCCTTCCCCTCTACTTCAACCAATATTGTAAAGATCTCTTCAATCTGTCCACAAGCCAATTTTGTCTTTTTCTTTGACTCCTTTGCTTGATAAATCACTGTGCTATTTGAGACACCTTTGCATTTGATGTTATATTTGACATTATCAAGATCCACAGAGTCAAGTTGATTGACCCATCGAGAGAGAGGTATGATGCTTGATTTTTTTTTCTTCATTTTATGTATGTCTGTTGCTATCACAAATATCTGTTTGGACATCTCATTCATCCTGTTGAGAAGGCGGACCCGAGATTCATAGTCTATTCCTTCATTCTTCTGGGGGTTGTATGTGTACTGTGAACTTGTATCTTCTCTTGTTCCTAGACTTTCAGTCACACCACCCCTGGAACTTTTGGGTAATGCAAATTTCAGAATTTGATCGGATGCCTTCTGTGGAAGGTGTTCACACAATGTTGGGAGGATGGTGCACATGTTCTGGGTGGTGTTCCACTTTTTAATTCTTGTAAACTCCTGGGACTCTGTGAAAGACCAGTTCAAATTGAAATTAAAATTCTGTGTTAGTATACAGGTAGGTCAAGATCAATTCTAAACACACACCTGGGTGATTATTTGTTGTTATCTTTTCCAAAGCTCCATTGAGTCTTTCACTGGGTACATCAGTCATTGTAACATCTTTTGAGGTCAATGGCATTTTTGGTTGATGATAGTTGAGGAAGTGGAATGAGGTCAAGAGAAACGGTCAAACTGGTAAGTAAACAGGCTTGTTTCGATTACATCAGCCAATCCTCGTCATTTTGATCATCAGCTGCGCTGCACCGGTCTCCATGAGATGCCGCGTCATTGACCCGTACCGTAATTGCTGGGTCAGATTATCCATCCACAGTCGAGTTCTGATCCAACCGCTATTCCAGACTATGTATGACTCATGAGTGACAGTGTGATTACTTTGAAGTTGATGATTGATGAGGCGTTCAACTTCAAACCTTACTTCGAACCACATATCTCAATCGAAAAAAGAAACTTATCACGATACCATTTGGATCGCTTGCCAACATGGCAATTGTACATTTGTATCAAATCATTTGATGCGATTGAAATGATTCACTCGCATGTCATCCAAGCAATTGAAGGGATTCACTCGGATGTCATCAAAGCAATTGGAACCTTTCATTGCTCGAATTCGATGCGATTTGAACGATTTAATTGCTTGAGGTTTGTGTCGGTCAGTCACCTGAGCGATGTTAAGTCGCATATGTGATTCAATCACTGAGCTTGCCATGTGATTTAAAGTTGCCGAGCAACTTCATTGCTTTCACTCATGCGATATAACATCACAAGATGTGTTTCATTGCTGGATCATCAAGCTATATAAATTCGCGTTTTTATTCTTGCGCCTTGGAAAAATGCAATATATCATTGCCGGTTTCAAAGCGTTTTGTACAGGCATACGTGTATGCGAGGCAAAAATGTTGGCGGTGAAGGAGCATGCAGATCCAGACCTTGTACTACCCAAATTGCAAGAATTCACTGCAAAACCTTGTGTTGTGAAGCAAACAGGTCTCAAAGCACTTACAATCAAACACCTCCAGGTTTCTATACAATGCTATGCCCCTAATGTCTTCATTCACTCTGTGGGAATGACCCATCCTGTCTGATTTGATCTATACATCAAGTTTGTCATGAAAGACCCAGTCAAACCAATCAACCCTTCTTGGAAAAACAATCAGTCAAAATCCAGGAGTTAGAAAATGGATGGAAAATGAGTATGGCTTTATCAAGGTCATAGAACAAACCAATATCCTGAGCAGGATTGATACAGGTAACCTTTTGGGGTACGGGGAAATGTGATGAATGAGCATCCCTGGGATTTCCCACCAGAAGTCTAATACTGGATGGCTATCCCCAGCATGCAGGATGCTGGCTATGTTAGGCCTTACATATATTATGGAAATGACAAAAATGCTCAGTCTACAAGTTCATGTTAAAGGTTCAAGAATGACTGAGTTGCGCAATCTATCTTTTGTGAAACACACATGTAATGTTATCACCATAGAGCTTAAGCACCCTGGGGCTGTGACCCGGCCCCGGCCCCGGCCACGCCCAGCCAATTCTCCGCAATCAGATTTAAGGCCTCACAGTCTGTGCCCTGGCACACTCAAGCTTAGTAAGATAAGCCCTGTAGGCATGCTGGCGGGCCTGCATACCTGGGTTTGTGTTTTTTCTTTCACAATAAAAAAATTGAACTTTTTTGATCAAAGTGGGTGCAGTATAGCTCATTTTGACAGCCAAGTAGACTGATAAATCTTCCACATTTTTACAACCTTTTTGCCCCTATACAGCATTCAAGATGTCCCTGGCATAAGCATTTTCCAGCTCTGTAGGGAAGGTTTAAGCACAGATCTGGGGTGGATAACACACAATGTGTTGTGGTGGCATTCAATTGTGGAGGGGTGCACACCAACTCCCCTTGGGGAAGGGAAAAATAATTTGCACAGATGTTGACAAGAGAAAATAACCTCCATAAGCTGATGGAATTGAATCACAAAATGCTCAGCTGGAAGAGTAGCATTCTATGTATGTGCCCCACATTTCAGATCTTCCCAGTTGGCCATGGTAATCCCAAGATGTGCAAATCCAGAAGAGTTATATTTGATACTCACACACAAGGACCAAGTTTGTGTGGTTTGGTATACTCAATCAACAGACAAGCCTCTATGAGACGTTCTTTGTGTCACCAGCCCCACACATCTAGAATCTTTATTCTATACTTTGTATCTGCTATGCAGGGTAAGAATTGCAGTGCCTGCAGGGCTAGATATTGTGACGTAATTTTTGCAATGCTCTACATGTCACTTGTGGGTATGGTGATGTACAGATTTTGTGTCTTTTCTCACTATATATGTTTCAAAGTATTAATGTGCAGTTAGTAATACAAAACCATGTGACAGCAGAGTTTCCCCAAGTGAAATTTTGTTGGAATATCTGTTCAAAGAATAGTGAAAGAGCCTCAGAGTGGATTGAGGGAAATTCCCCTTGAAATTCCAAATACCTTGAGCAGGAAGGAAGTGAGAGCTCACATGGTGAGTACAGAGTCAATAAATTCCGGATGATACATTACAAAGATGACTTTCAAAAGAGACAAACAAGATAAGAGTAATTACAAAAATCAATATGTTTCTTCAGTAACAGTATTTCTAGCGGCTTAGTGAGATGAGAGCAATACTCTTCTTGTCAAGAAGATAGTGTACTTCCCCTGGTTCAAAAACTATCCAAGCACAGTGAGCAATAACCTCATCAATGTGTGTTAAAAAGGTTTACTAGATGTTTCAAGCCGTAGGTGTGCTTCCAGGTCAGGCTCACCAAGCCAAGTGAATGGATTTGGCATTGCTTGAGGAACAGGTGCATAGTATCGGACCAGGAGCCAGGTGTCACTGACAGGAACTTGGCCATCTGCTGGAGAGCGTTGATGGGTGAATATTTGAATGATCTTTCCAAACAGAGTAGCTCCATTTGATTGAGAAATGACATGAATCACACTGTTATTAGCATTCTTGTTGTAAGTCTGGTAATGCACACCACTGTGTTTGATTCCGTTCTTAAACTCTGCTTGAGAAGAGACTGGTGAGTACTTCTTTCTTTCCTCTGTGGACATCTTGCACCACTCGCTGGAAGACCTCCAAACTTTATCATTAGCATGGATTGCATTCAAGCAAGAAATCAATTGATCCATAGTTTCATCATCAAGTGCTTCAGAGGCAAATCTATTAATTGATTTGAGAGAAGAGTCTAGTGGCTCAAATATCCTTTGTAGCACAGTGTTTGCTAGAAATGCGCCGGACGCCCGGTGAGCTCCTTTTGCAGCAAGTGTCCGTCATCTGTACAGTGAATCTTCGTGATATTTAATAACTGAGCCCACTCAACGTTGCTCAGGATAAGCCACATTGACTCGAGCATGAGTCCTCCTCATGCTGGAGCTGAACCTCCCTAAATTTTTTGAGTCTTTTAGATGACCTCACCATAATTGCCACAACCCAACCGTCTTCTAATTCTTTTCGTCCCGGTCTCAGCATCCGATTTTGATGCTGAGACCGGACTGCTGTCAAAGTCTGGCGCCGCGGCTTGCGTTTCTTAAGTATTTTGGTGACTGTGGTGGTGCTACTAAGTATTACGAATAAAGCAAATACTCTACATACCTTTTTATAGAGAGCGATGCGTACATACATATTACAGCCCTACACCTAAAAAGTGGAGGGCTGCTTTTATGTAGGCCCAATGGTAATGTGATACGTGTAATAGGTAGGTCAACTCAGAGAATTTGAAAGTAGTCCTCCTGTTCCTCTCTTGGATGTACTGCTCATTAGAGTAAGTATAGTATTTGTCTCTGTCTTTCCTAGTATGTACCTGCACCTCCGCTTGTATCCTTGATCGGCTCTTTCCTCAACATAGGCTCCCACACAAGGCACTTTCGTAGGCTCTATACGCTGTTTTCTTCGCAGGAGTTTGAATGAACCGCTGTATACATATACCCACAACTTACTCACATACGTACGTGATAAAGAGGCTTTCTCCTGCTTTCTCTCCCTTCGTTCCCTTTTGTCCGTCTACTTATACCTGCCTTTTCTGCAAGCTTGCCATGAGATTCTTTCTCCCGGCCACTTTCGCCTCCCTTCATCAACACCGAGGTCGAAATTCATTCAAGTTTCGACCCTTGCCCTCTCCTACCCCCGTTCATCGAAACAATAGTTTGGTGGACGGCATTTCATGAAGCTTCTTCAACCGCGATTCCCGTTCATCAAAAATCTTTTGTCTTTTGACATTTCTTGATCAAACTTTGTCAACCGTAACTCTGGCCCCCGTTCATGGTTTACAATCGGCTCTGCTTTGGCCATGCCTCTAATGCTTTCTTCGGCTTCAGCTACCATCCGCGGATTGTAAGTGATTCTTATTTAAACTACATCAACCCGCCTCTTTCTCCTTCATTCAGGCTGTACTACAAATCACACTGACACAACCCCTCAACTCAATTCCTTCATCCAGCGCGCGAAGTCACTTCTTGCTACGGTGTGCACATCCTCTGTTTCAGAAATCTCATCTTTCTCAATCAGAGTGTGTCAATTCTAATCTGTAATTTAGTCAATCCCGTCCATCTTAGTATCACTAGCTCTACTCCGAGTCAACCCCTCAACTTAATTCCTTCATCCAGTGCGCGAAGTTACTTCTTGCTACGGTGTGTAAATTTTCTGTTTCAAGATCTTATCTTTCTCAATTCGAGTGTCTGTCAATTCTAATCTGTAATTCAGTTCATCCCGTCCATCTTAATATTACCAGCTCTGATCCAAGTCATGACCATCAAGATCTATGGCAACCTAACTATGTCAGGAAACTCTTCCATCACCACTACTCGATGTAGCCAAAGTCGCCCATCAAGAGCTCAAACTGTCGCTCGAGCAAGAAGGAGCACCTCTCCTCCGCATATCCAACCGGTGGTAGAAGATGTAGCAATTGAAGATCTAGCTCCCGAGAATGTGCCCATTTTAGATCACGCTGTCGGAAATCACGCCGTAGAAAATCACGCTATTGATCATCACGCCATAGAAAATCACGCCATTGAACAGCACGCCGTAGAAAATCACGCTATTGAACATCACGCCGTAGAAAATCACGCTAATGAACATCACGCCGTAGAACCTGTTGCGGTAGATGCTCTACGTCAACGACGCGGGCAGTTGGCACTGTTAGGTCAAGGACCAAGAAGAAATGCTCCCCTTCCCCGGCGTCGTTCGTCAAGAATCGCTCGTCGGGCCAATCTCAGCAACGCGCTGTTGCACCCGCGAAGACGACGTCCACTTCCGTCCGCCCATGAAGATCATGACTTCTGGGCCAAGATCTGGACCTTACCCACCAATCTTCTCCGGTATCTCTCACCTGGATGGCACCCACTTTGGACCACTCGAGGTCTTTTTCGCCAAATCATCTGGCACTTCAAGCCAAACCAACGCATCCCGTGTAGAACGCTCAAAGTAGATTTGATAGAACTCTTTGAAGTTCATGTGGCCCAACAGTATGGCGCTTACTATGGAATCTAGGAGGTTTGTACTTTCTTCATGTTCTTTGTTTATAACTTGCTGACAATTTCTGGTCTTTCTAGATCAAAACGTACTATTCAGTTGTTCTGTATAGTTTTCATTTCATTTCTCCATTTCTCTCTATTTCTGTACATAGGCTATAAACAAATGGTCTTTCTCCCTCTCCCCCTCATACTATGCATGTATATAGTTTTCAATTGATTTTCTTGACATAGGTTTTCTCTTCTTACTTCCTGTTTTATGCGTGTATATATTTGGGCTCAAACAATCAGGGTTTTTTTACACAAGTTTGCTCTATGGATATCAAAACAAGGCTATCTTCCTTGCTTTTCAATAAAATCCAGAATTAATTTTGCTTGTGTATGTTATTTGAGAGTCACGTGAGACTCCCTAAAATTCTTCCCCGATCTTCCGGCGAGAACAATTCAGACAGTATCGAGGCAATTTGAGTACCGTTACGTAGTCTCGCTGCCATCCATTGCACTCAACCAAACTGATCTACTTCAAACCTTTAAGATGAAGACACCCCATATATGCTGCTGTGAAGAGCTTGGATGCGGTGCGGAAATTTTTCAGCTTGATGGTGTTGTTCGCAAAGGCAAAGCTAGAAATCAGCAAAACGGTGCCTTCCACGAGGCCAAACTGCGAAGGCTTCGGTTGACACGAGCAACTGAGAACCAATCGACTAATCATCAGGTCTCTACATCCGCCGGATCGTCTACCCACAGGACAGCAAATAACGGGGCAAGTGAAACACTGATTTCATCATCTTTCCATTTCCAGTTAATTGATGATTCCTTGACCCCAATAGCGCCAAAGATCTCTGAGTACTGGGGACTTGGTGACGATCAACGCCCAGCGCTTCTCCAGGTCTCGCAATCAGGAATTGTTCTTAGCTTCAAACCTGCCTGGACTGCAAAGACGACGAAGCAGCTCACAAACCATCCGAGGACCAAATGAAAGTGGTCTGATTATCTCCACGGCGGCCTACCAGATGCCGGAGGGCTATCTTCAGCGACCAGCATGTCTCATTGGTATGCTGCAAGTCGCCAATGGATCTCTTCTACAAGGGGTCAAACAACGAACGAGCCGAACTTCTCTCCACATGAATAAGTTAAAAATCGAACAAACAGCCAAAGACACCAATTATACTGGTCGTGGTTACTGGGAGGACCTACCCTTGTCTCTGCCGACGTTGTACACGATGCTGAATCTTGATGTCAAGCTTGACTCACAGATCGTGTGTCCGGAATGCTTCGCTCTGCACGGCGCACCTTTCGAAAAGATCAATGATACTTACAAGATGAAGTGCGATGCTTTACGATTTTTACGTCAGCCTGATCAACTAAGGGGTGCGCCAACTGTACGTCATTTATGCGGAGGGACTCTTTATTCAGGTGCAGATCTCAAGCCAAGTCTCCAATTTCATTATCACTCCATTAAGACTTGGTTGGCCAGGATGTTGTGTATTCCCGGTTTTGAAGGCTCTCTGGACGCGCCGCTTCAGCACGAGTATGATGGTTTAAACATGCGCAATATATGGGATGGCAAGATGTGGAGGTCATTTATGCACTGCGGAAATCGGTTCACTTCAAAAAGTGGTCATCTTGTCTTTGGTCTATTTGTTGATTGGTTTAATCCCCATGGCCGAGGCGCTCGAAAAGCGAAATCACACGGCATAATTCTTCTCATATGCTTTAATTTACCGCCAGATGTACGATACAAGCAAGAGAATCTGCTTCTTTTTGGTGTTATTCCTGGACCCCACGAACCGGCTGTCGATCAAATGAACGAACTCTTGAAGCCGCTAGTGGCCGAATTCCAAGACCTTTGGAAAGGGGTCTTTTTCACATCAACTTCGGATTATCCAAAAGGCCGTATTGTACATGCAGCAATATGGCCCTTGATAGCAGACATCCCGGCAATGCAAAAGGTCGCTGGATTTGCTTCCCATTCTGCGACATACTTCTGCGCACACTGTGGACTTACTTTAAGGTACCGCCACTTTATAGACCCAAATGAATGGCCAAAAAGGACTGACCATCAAATACACGCAGAAGAGTGGAGAGATGCGCCCACTCTTCAGACACAAGAGAAAATTTTTGACACTTACGGACTCCGATACACCGTTTTATCAGAACTTCCTTATTGGTGACCCGCTGATTTTGTCACCATCGATATAATGCACTGTTTAATTCTTGGTGCCCTGAAGGACCACACCTCTAGCTTTCTAGGACTTGGTGAAGCCGGCAAGCAGCTCAAAGCGAAACTTGACAAGGAGGCTTGTTTAGATATACGTAATCGGCCTATGACACGAGCTTATACCTCCAACAACGTCAATGTACGCATCGATGTTTAGATATATGCATTTTGTGAATGATGAAAAATTGACCAATTTTTTTATCGCCGTCTTAGTCTGACACTTCACACGCAGCTACCTCTGAACCCGCCAGTTCAGAGCTCGATCGAATGGATGTGGATGATTCCAGCGACCAAAACGAGAGTGTCGCTATGGACTGGTCAAGAGTCATCGATATTGACAATTCTCAAAGTTCAAAATCACGTCGATCTAGCTCAAACATGGAGAGAACAAGCCAGGTATGGCCATTGCCTTCGGGTTCCGAGCAAGGAAGCCTGCACGATGGAGTGGCACCGAGTGTTAGTAGTTCAGGTGCTTGTGAAATTTTTGCTCGTGGACAACAGATACCTTCTTCTTCTCCAAGTCTTGCATTTCAGCAACCACTGCCTGCAGACATATCCAATAAACGTGGCAGAGCTCGTACACGCAGTCAAAGCACGAATGATAAATGGCCCAAAATTGGCGCGTCCATGGGCAACCTTGACTCGAATTTGGAGTCACACGGTGAACAATCCTTGGTTCCAGACGGTTCTATGTTCTCTGAGGAACTCGATTACCATCCAATGTTGCGCAGCGATGTTCAAGGTCCATCTTCTGCAGAGCCCAGCTCACGGCGCTTGGAATTACGGCGCTCCAATCGAATTCAGTCACAAAGTGGTCAAAGTCGATTGGCCTCAAATGTTGCCCCAATACCGGTGAAGTTACAACAAAAACCAAGTGAAAGCCGGAAGCAAAGCAATACCAACACGACGATTCGCACTTTGGCCGCAAGCTCGAAGAAGGCTAAAGTTAAAAAAACAGCCTCATCATCTGCGCCACAACCGCAAACTCCAAAAGAAACTGCAGCTGAGCCAGGTACCTCCAATCCATCACTTACAATGGATGATCTCATCAATATCCGACATGCTATCTTGAATGCAAAAACACCAAGCTGGATGACTCGCCCTCCTATCAAGATTGGAATTCCGAAGTCGGGGACCCCCAGTGCAATGGAATGGCTTTCCTTTTACACCGTTTATATCGTCCTTGCCGTCATCCCCAAGCTATTCTTTTCAAATGGTCCAAACCACCAAGCTCTATGTGAGAGTTTGATCTACATAGTAGAGATTACAAATTGTGCCCTCTCTCAAAATTTCAGCAAACAAGACAAAGAAGATCTCGAAAAATTGGTATTCAGCTATCGCAAAAATCTTGCTAGCTCTTGGACAGGCGTCAGTGTCAAGCCAAACTTACACTTTTTGCAGCATATACCTAATATCACTGAGCTCTTTGGGCCTCCTTTGTATACTGGAGCCATGGTCAGTGAGCGTGTGATTGGCATGTTGGTGAAAATCTCAAAAAACCATCACGCAGGTGCGAACTTTGTTATATACCTGAGGAGGACAAGATATTGATGATGATGTGGTTGATCACTTATAAAATATTGACGATTTTAGCTGACATCGACAAAACGATGACGCAGGCCTTCACTAGAAGAGGACTTTTCAAGGCTGTTTTGAAAGGTTGCCCTACCTACCTACGACGAGTTGATGAAAAGATCAGAGGAGAGGTAATAAAAGCCCTGACGGCGACTCCAACCACAAAATGGTCTGCGGAGACCAACCTCGACCGTGATGCATATGAAAGCTGGCTTAGCTATCTGAATACACGGCTAAACCAGCGTTATGGAACGTTCTCTGATGGCTGTAGCTTTTCAATGGGCAGTCCCTCTCTGCCGACAAAAGTCGAAATCACAAAATTACTCAAGGTATTCGGGAAGAATTACACCTCATACCAGCATGTTAAAGGTCGGGGTAATAGTGCAATCGAATACTGGATTCAAGGCGAGCATCATTATGGCTACATTCAATATGCATTTCGGACCAAGCTAGTCCCCACGATTTTTTTGGTAGTCAACCAGTTCACCAAACTCAACACGAGGGATTCAATCCATGATTGCTTCGTGTCTCACCCCCGCCTACAGGCTGCTAGGGTATACTCAAAAATAGAGCGCTCGGTGATTGTTGACCTTCACGATCTTATGGGTCACATAATTGTGCTGTCCCATCCTCCAGGTCACCTCGGCATTGCCCAGGAGACCCTGGGTATTGTAGGCCTTCGGAACGTGGTAAGTGTTTCAAACATCAGTCTTTGGTTTTCTGTGGTTAATCTGCTGACCACTATTTGACAGAGCTCAATCACTACAGACACAAGTTTAGAATGATGAAAATGCATCAAAAGTACAAAATAATATGTAACATGAGATTGAGCGTCAATGATTTTTCGTATGTAAACAGACAGCTATCATATGAATAAGGGGTTGAGCTAAATGTATGCTGTACGCTCATGAATACTATGATGTGACATTAGACAATTGAGCGAATTTTTGAAATCAGCAAAGGAAGAGCCGGGCTGGCCGCCTTTTGAGTCAAGAGCTGTTTATGACTCTCTCCAAACGCTTCCTTCCAAACTGGACAGTAACAATTGGATGGAAGATTACGGGGAACTTTACCACGAGATGAGGTTTTAATTGGTGAACCTCTCCTCATGTCAAGCCGGCGAGGCCCCCACCTTGCCCCGTGCAAAGCCTTCTGCTGGTTGAAGGAAAGAGAATCTAGTAGATGCAGAAGCTCAGAGTATTCCTGACTTCTCCAAACCATGCCTACAGCGCGGGGTTTCCCAGGTCCGTCGTCCTCGGTATCCGAGCAACAGCTAGCACTGGGGAGGAAGCTTAAGGCGGTGGAAAGAAGGTCCCTATCCTCGAGTTCGCAAAACTCCTCTAAAGCATCTTGGCGATAGCAAAAAATCTGAGAATACATTTCAGCAACTGTGGAAAAACGGGGAGCTGGGGAGGGAGAGAGGACGTACTGTAGCTCGCCTCTGATTTTTCATTTTCCTGCTGCGATATTTTCCTTCTTTGCTCACTCTCCCTCGAAACCATCTTTCCATTGCAGCTTGACATATCGCATCGGTGGAATATGTAGAATCAACGGAATATCGAGAGAATGCACCTTGCGACATCGCCCATCGCCAGTGCTTCACCAAGAACGCCAGCATCATCTTGTTCCAAGGAAAGGTCACCGGTGACTCCCAAGCCAGGGTGGCACGTGGAATACCGAATCGAGTTAGATCTTGAAGAAATATTCTCCGGTATGTGATCCAAGAGGCGTCTTGCCGAGGTAAGAGATTGATTGTTTGATGGGACGGACTGGGCGGCTCGAGATGCAAACCAAAAACACTTGAATCGGCCGGAATGGTCCCAGAGTCTAAGTCGGGGAGCAAATGAATTTCAGATGGCTCTGGACTAGTAGGATAGACTGCACGCGTGCCAAATTTTCCCAACATGAATTTCATGTAGTCGGTGATGGCTTGATAAGATCCCGAGTTCCGCTGAGGTAACCAAAGAGCGAGTTCTCTATTTTGTGCTTTCAATGATCTGACTCCACCCCCTTCTTCAAAGTACATAGGTCGGTCAAGAATTGCTATTCCCATTCGCATAGAGAGTGCATCAACAGGAATGCGGACAAGTACAGATGTAGATAAAGAAATGAATAGCAACTCACCTTTGGAACCCACCATGATTGTTGAGAATGGAAACCAATCGAGGAGTAAAGAGGGAGTACAGATGATTCGGTCACGACAAGACCAAAAATGATATAACAACGTCTTTGCAAGATAAGTTGACGTATGATAGAAGTTCAGCAAGTTAAGACAGAGATATATAATAAATCAAGTAAAGATATATAATTTATTAAGTACGGTAGTTGTAGGATGGGGGAGTCAAATGAAATGGTTCGATGAGACAAAATAATATATAACGTCTTGGCCAGCAAGATCAGTTGGGGTACAATATCAGAAGTAGAGAAAGTTACAAGGCCTTCTCCAGGAAGATATATAATTTATCAAGTTGGGTAGCTGTTGGACAAAATTAAATCAAGTGGCCTTCTCCAGGAAGGCTGCGCACTGTTGGAAATATATACGTATAAAAAAAGCTTGACAAAATATTAAGACAACTTTGGGAGGAAAATCAATACGATTATAAGTACGTTCTTCTAAGATCAAGAGAAGTACCTGAAAGGTTAAAGTTGGGGGTTGACCTTTCCACATACCATGAAGGAAAATCGAAGGAGACGGGGGGAGGCACGTACGCAAAGCCTTTTGTGAGATCGAGAAATAAAGGAGAGAATTTTGTTTGGTGGCATGGTCGGTGTTTGATCCGCCTTGTATTCAAAAGGTTCAAAGGATACCTCAATCATGAAAAAGCAACCAAGTTTCGCGGGCAGCTGATCGCCCAGTTTGAGGTCCTTTTCAAGAAAGTTCTCTGCCTTCATCTTTGAGCATATGCCAAAGCTCTGCAAGGCTCTAGGTCCTTTTGTCACACATGTACAGATGTCAGATTCTGATTAAGAGCAAAGTATAGACTGTGATCTTATTTTCTTCATATCACATCAAATCCCAATCTTGTTTACCCTCACTCTTCCTTCATCTTCAACATTCTGTGTCTGGTACATAAGTTTGTTATCTCTCACACCAATTACACCTCTTCGTGCTCGATCAAAGCGCCTCACCTCTCACGCATTCATACTCCAATCAACAGACTCACTTCCCGCGCCTCTTGACCCTCTGATCGCCTCTCGAACCGACCATGTCCCAAATCTATCGAAGTAAGTCATCTCACGTCTCAATCTCTCAATGCTCAACTTTCTCAAGGAAGCCTCTTTTACAACTTGCAAACAGACACCCAACACAAACAGAGCTCTAAGCTTTTGGATTTGGAAGCTTCTCCAGACCCAGCTCCTTATACGCCACCTCTCTCAAGGCCAATTTCAAACTCCATCAATGGTCAGTCTCTTCTAAGAAACATCTTGTTTATAATCATTGAAGCTGATGGTCAATCACTTCCCAGGTCCACGCGCACCTCTTCCAATCGTATCTTCAACCAGTGACTCTCCTGCTGATGCAAACGGACAGCGTCTCAGTTCAGCTCCTCTTCATCTTTACTTTACTTATCTGGTGGTGTGTTACCTGGTCGTTGACTTAAACTGCAATTGAACTTTACATGTACAGGAGACGGTGATGAACGGAATGAGCTTTCGGAGCTCTTTGAAGACATCGAACAACTTGTTGCTCCGCCACATGTGCTTGTCAAGGAAAACCTTTTGCAGCCAGCGCCGCCACTTCACGCTATATACAACCCCTCGCTTGTCACGCCTGGAGCACCCTCTCACCCAAGCGCACGTCATCGAATTGCCAAGATGCCCTATCACTTATCAACCAATCATCACTCAGCAGTCATCTCCTTATTGAAACGTTCCAGATCACCTGATTCCCTTTTTGATAACATACATCTGGAGCCAATCGTCCCTCAAAAGCGTCCTAACTCATCGCATAACCACGACGAAGGAATCCGTAAGCGTTCTTGTCTACCATTGTCCTATACGAATACGCAACAACTGCTCTCAGGTCGGTTTCCAATCACACCGGAGGATTTGGCCGCCCCAACTGTCCCGCAAAAACGCTCTCACGTATCACAGTATGAAGAAATGTACCTTAAGCGAGCTTGTGCAGCGTCAGACTACCCCAGCGACCAACAGGCGCCAAAGCTTCGCCCTACAAAGTTGGCGGATCAGTCTGGTATGGGCTCGAGTTATACCTTCACATTTTGTTCGCCATGGCCACAGGGAATTCTTCAACCCCTGGAGGCCGACATGGGACTAAGCGGACAAATCGAACAACCATGCAACAGTTATCAGACTCTTAGTCCAACTAACAATACCGACTCAAAATTTCCCAATCCACCCTACGTTGACAATCAGAATCTCACTAGAAGTCCAAATCAACCCGGCTCACCGTCACAGGATGCCAGGTTCAATGAAGTTTCAGAGTATGCTAACGACATCTCCAATGCACCACTTCAGCAGTCTCACGAATTCGCAAGATTGGATACTCGATCTTCTCCTTCGAATCACCATTCTAGCCACAGCCCATTGCCGCAAGATGAGCAACTTTGACCTCATCATCTGCCCGACCATACTTACTTACCTGACTTACCTAATAACACAACCTCGACAGGTCCTCAGACTGACCCTAAGACTCGCAATCGCCCTCGCTCCGCACCACAGGATCTCATATCTCATCGAGCTCCTGAGAATGGTTGCAATGATACCAGTGCATCACATGCTCAATTCACAGAATCAATCGGGAGGAAATTGACCAATGAAAGAAATCAAAACCGACCCAGCTCAGCCCCACACCAATTCAATCCAGCTCCTGAATGTGCTCCCAGTTCTACCAGCGCCTCACGTGCACAATCTCAAGTTTACGCCAGCGAACCCTACCTAGACGCTCAGATCCTAAGTACAACTGACCGTTTCTCTAGCTCATCCTCACAGGATGGTCCATTTCATCCAAAATGTCGCAACATCCCCACTTCTACACAGCCCCAAGAAGACTCGACAAGGATATCCAATCCGCCCCAAGACTGCTTGTCAGGTTTTCCCCTACGACTGGACCAATTTCAATTTGATTTCGGCGAGAATCACAATACGAGATTTGTTGTGATTGAAGACCCACCCCCTATCTTTGACCAACGCCCTGACAATGCACCATCACACACCCAGCGCGACTTCTTTCAACAAGCTCAAACCCAGCCTACCGCTCTCACATCACTTCCAGACAGTCGACAATCATCTAGGACGTCTATCTGTTCCGCTAACAATCAGCAATATCATGAACGTAGTTCTAATCAAAGCGGCCGATTGTCAAGGATGTCGTACTGTTCAACACATGTTCAACAACCTAATCCTCAACCTGCACAAGTAGCCACAACCATTTATCAGCATCCCCTGCTAGCGATATCCTCTAGAAGTTCGCGTGTCAGTACGCATCAACATTCTTCTGATCAGATAGGAGTTATTAATCAGTTCAGTAATGAACTTCTTGAGGGGGATCAAAATCCGTCTCATGACCAATCTTCAACCTATACACAAGCAAGAGTAACGACTCCTGATCCCGAGAGATCAGTGCCACAGGTTTGCGCGATCAAATCACCTGGATATCCAAGTATGTCTCCCAATCCCTCGCGTATGTATCATCAAGAATCCACGAGGCCAAATGATGGCTCATCTCCTTTGCCTCAAGAACATCTCAAAAGTGCCTGCAGCACTATTCCTAATGGTATTGGCTCCGGTCTTTTTCGGCCCGATAGCTCTCAGACCAATACACGTCCAGCTTTTCATCCACAATATCATTTGGTGCCACAGCCACAGGAATTTCAAACACATCACGAGCCTGATTTGGTAACCCATGCTACCAAGCAACGCGGCATTTCCGTTCCACCTTATGAGGAACACACTAGATTATATAGGCCAAAATTACCCAATCCACCCTCAGCAAATCCTCAAATCTTTTATCCCAATCGTGCCTTTTTACAGGCTCCCACTCCTGTTTTCCACATGGCCAATCAGGTTAAATTCGACATTGGACGAGATCACATTCCTAGTTTTGGGGCACTGTTGGCTACTCCATCATTGGTCCAATCCTTTAATACACGTCCTGGTGAAAGAACATCGCAGACCCAGCGCGACATCTTTCAACAACCCTCACCCCAGCCCATCAATGTATCACTTTCTCGTCCATCGTTGAGGATGTCCATAAGTCCCGTGCAAAAGCAACCACCTCTTCAAAGGGGCCAATCCTCCTGGGTGTTATCTGCAGCAAATAATCCTCAAGCGGCTCCCTATCCACCTACTGATCTTCAAGCTAACTCTCGACCTACTGCGCCTCGAGCTGCCTCTCGGCCTGCTGCTCAAGCTGCGCAAGGCGACACATCTGCTTATCATCATTTACCAACAGCGTCGGCGTCCACATCTATGGAGATTGATAATGATACAAGTAGTAAGTTCTTCACTGTCTGAGCGAGAGAGTTGCTACTTTTACTGATGATGCAATTTTTTCTTTCTTAGCTTCCAGGGTGTTATCTGCTGCAAATAATCCTTGTGCGGCTCCTTATCCACCTCCTCATCCAGTTCCTCGACCTACTGATCTTCAAGCTAGCTCTCGTCCTGCTGATCAAGGCGTCCCTCGACGACTTGATCCTCACGTCGCCCGTCGACGAACTACTCCTCAAGCCGCTTCTGGACCTACTTCTAGACCAACTGCTCGTCCTACAGCTTCTCAAGCTGCCTCTCGGGCTGCTGCTCAAGCTGCACAATCTGGACCTACTTCTCGACCAACTGCTCGCCCTACAGCTCCTCGAGCTGCCTCTCGGCCTGCTGCTCAAGCTGCGCAACGCAAGGCGTCTGCTTATCACCATCGACCAACAGCGTCGACGTCTATATCTATGGAGATTGATACTGATACAAGTAGTAAGCTCTCCACTGTCTGAGCGAGAGAGTTACTGCTTGACTGATGATGCCAATTTCTCTTGCTTAGCGTCCAATTCCCAAGAGACGGAAGATCTACATGAGCTCGACGACGATGACAACGATTCCGGCGAGGACCATCAAGAAGACCTAGACCAAGAAGACCAGCACGGAGAAGACAAAGACAAAGACAACCAGCACAGAGAAGACAAAGACGAAGACGAACAAGACACAGAAGAATCTGACTTAGATGGTGTTTATGATCTTGTTGAAACTCGCAAGTATCAAAATCGTAAATCTGCACGCCGAGTTAAAAAGACGATCGCCAGACACAATGCAGCGCGTCTCGAGAAGCTTGCTAAACCTCCGGCAGAGTGCTCTCAATATGAGCGACTCGCTATTGCGATTCATCATTTTAACAACATGCTTCTTGGTATCGTTCGGAAAGGTAGAGGCCGTAAGGGCAACCGATTTCTTCCCTTGCCCCCCTCAGACAAAGAGTATTCTGTTTGGGACAAACGGAAAGTAGAACGTCGGCGCTTGATGGATAAAAGTTCTGAACAAGCTCGCTCTCGCTACCAGCGTAAATATCCATCCGCCCTTCCCGCACAGCTTGCAAGAGTTGGAGATCACGCAGCGGAGGAAGCTATCTCCACAATTCCTCCAGTCAAATTCACCTTGCTTGTGCCACTCAGAAATTCTGGCGTTCGTTATTCAACCACCATGGCCTCTACTTGTGAGGCGACATTGGCTCTCTCTGGCTTTACACGATTTACCTACGATTGGACTGATTCTTTCAAGTCAAAATGGAATGAGGCGGTTTCAGCGATTATTCTCCAAGAATGGGAGAAGTGCTACAGGCGAGGAGATGCCAATGATTACTACGTTGATGTTCATCAAGTGACCGCCAAAAACATTCGCGAGGTTCTTGAGAGGTGGTTCAATACCAAGGTCAGGGAATATGTAAACCAGTGCGGTCAAGAGGGTGGGAAGAAGAGAAAGCAACCACACGAGCAGGAGGTGCTAAAAGAGAAATCTCGCCGTAGGCAATCACAAAAGAAGGTCAGTGTTTTACATCGTCTCTTGATATTATTCCCACAGTAGGCTGATTCACTTTCAAATCCGGATCCTTGGTAGGTTTGTAAGCTTCGAAAAGACACTTTCAAAAGGTTTTTCCCGGAAAACCGGGCACTCGGCATCATCTTGTCAGAAAGATCAGTCCATTCTGAAGATGAAGTTGATGCTGATGGTCACTCATACCGGAAGCAGAAGCTTTGGAGGCATAGGGACCTTACCGAATTCCTCCATGAGTTGGACAAGCTGCACATCAAAGATCAGCAGAGTGAACAGGCTTCCACTTCCGCCCTCAAAGCTCTCGACCGTGGGCCTTACACGGATACAGACGATGCAGATTTCCTTGCACGCCCCCCCAAAGGATTTCCAAAATCTCTACTTAATCAGGAATTTATGAAGCACCATGTATCCAGAGTTGCGGTTTTGGACCTTGAACTCTCATCACAAGAGTATGATATAACTCCATTTGTTGAGCACGCCACATGGCTCCAGTTAACTGAAGGGTCTTGAAAAACTCTATACTTCATTCCTGAGGCTTTATAACTTTATATGTTGTATTTGCATACACCTTCCTTCATAAAACTCTTGTACATTTTGTCGTCTTTTTCATATTTTTCCTTGATGAAAGAAATATCTTTATCCTCTCTTTTGACTTCTAAGAGGCGTAAACAGTAGAATTCGATTTTGAACCTTTAAGTGGCATTTGAGATGTCTAATTTCCACTGCCCACATTCTCAAGTTGAAATTTCTCTGAAGAAATGAAACTTGATGTTTATTTTTTCTTTTACTGTGAATGAAGACACTGAATAAGATACAAATCCAAATAAAACTCTCTGTTGCCAACCATCCCCCCTTGCGCACAGTATGTACAGGCGGGTACCGGTATAAGACTACTAGCTCAAAAGTTGAAGAATGATTTAAACCATAAAAGATTCAAACGTACAAAGACAAAAGAAGTATTTCATTGTATGATTATTGGTATCTCACAATCTCGATTTTGACAACGCAATACGCCCATTGGCTCAAGAATCGAATCACTCTTGATTTTGATCTTAGGAAGAATTCATTTAGGTATGACGTAAGACCAAGATCAAAATTGAAAATTACTTTACCTTACACCAATTCACGTTTGGACGGCTGGAATTCTAACACACAATGCCCTTTCTTCATCTCTCTCTCTGCATGAAAACCGTATGTCCAGTTTCCTTGTTCCCCACGCACCACCCTGTTTGGTCAAACACTCACTGACACATTTTTCGATCATAGGGGAAGCTTCTTACTATTCTTTGTTCCTTACTCTATCGACGATCTCAACGCTAACCTTCAAGACTTGCTTGTCCACTCAAGGTGCCCCCGGAAGATCTCAGATGATATTAGCCGCGGTTTGTTATATAATCACTTCTGAATCACTTTTGTCTTTGTCGAATCGTCACCAGCTGCCACATTTCCTTTCAAACTCACATTTGTTTTAGGTGATCCGAGACCATTACGATCTTTACCGTTGAGCTTGATGAATGGTTCTTTCTTTGAACAGGTGCCGAATGGTCTAAGATTTGGTAAGCCGTGATGCCCTTCATCCATGATCCTGATGCCTCCCAAAGTATTTCATACTCTCGCGTTCCTGGGAGCCTTTTGAGAGTACTTATACTGACCTCTTTGACCTTACTTTCTTCTCAAATCCCAACCCACGCATCCTAACTTACGTTTTCATTTCCCAACACTTGTCTATTTCCTCATTTTCTTCTTAACTTGAACTTGCCTATCACTATCATGAAGCTCCTCCGAATTCAATCAACTGTTGCTTATTTCAAGAATTGTGCCACGAAGGCCAAAATTTGGCTCTGTACGTCGACTTTCACTCATGATGTTCCCTCTTTTCTGGTTTGCTGATCACCTGTCGAAATCTTATTCTTTACAGCCTTCACAACTAGGCGATTTCACCGCTCTCGTCAGTCTTTTGACCCATCATCTGCCACAACTGTATCACCTGCAGGCGTATCACTTTCGCCCCCTTCCACTCCTGTCTCGCCTGCTAGCTTCACCTCGCCTGTTAGCTCCACCCCGTCATCAACTCCAATCAGCCTCATGAGTATTGACAACTCACTGGTCACTCCCCCATTTGTACCCTATCACGAACTTTACACTGGCCTTGCCACTCCACTCTTGTTTTCACCAACCTCAAGTACTATTTTGGCTCCTGACTTGGCCTCGACGGCAAGTGATACCAGCCCCATGAGTATCGATCCCCCCTCCATCGGGACTCTTGAATTCTTCCAGTTTCATGCCCACTCGACCATCACAAATTCGCCCACATCCATCCGTCTTTTGCCCACGAGCATCACGACCAATGGAAGCTCTCAAATCACATCTCTTCCGACAACCCAAAGCAAGGCCGGAAGAAAAAACTGGATTGAGGTAGCCAGAGAGCTACATCGCCAATCTCCCACCCCCACCGCTTCATCGCACCCATGCCCAGCACTCGTGACTTCCACCCCTGACGACCTCGCTGTGACCCAGCTTGCTGCTCGAACCCCTCGGCCCTACGCCAACTACCAGCTTCCTAGTTTTGTAGCAAATCTGTCTCCACCACCTTATGAAGTCGCTAGGAAGCGTTGCTTGTCTATGGATGACGACCTTGTTGGTAAGCAGATATCAGGTAATGGCTTGCGCTACGTCCAATCACCCTTGTTGACTATATCTTTTTCTCTTTGTAGTACACCCTTGCAAACGCCGCAAGTCTACACCTTCCATGAAGAAATGGCGCCTCTCGCTCTCTATAGAGGATGAGCATACTGGTATGTTTATCTCTCAATGGCGATATCAAATGAGAAATAGTTTTTCTAATCTGCATCTATTTCTCCAATCATATGCTCCTTATAGACCAGCCTTACAAGCGCTTAAAGCTGGGCTTGCCAGCTCATTTTCTTCCCCCCCATGTCATTCCCCCCCTCCGTTTTCTAGACATCAGTATGGCTGGATGCTTAATGAAAAGGAAGGTCTTATTTTTTGGGGTAGCTTGCAAGAAAGTGAAAGCTCGGCAAGAGCTGTAGATGACTGTAACGAAGTGTAAACCACGCTGCCTTCATGCTCATCTGACGTTCAACATTTTTCTACTCAAATTTCCTATTCCAATAGCTTTGTTTTTTTCATTCTCCTCATTGCTTGTACATATTTCATGCTCTACAAATAAGATACACGTGTTTTTTTGGGATAGAGAAGGCCCAGTGAAAGGCTTCCCATACTTAGTACCACCCACTCAAGGCGAGGGAGAATGGATGAAGCTGGTGGTGAGCTACTCAGCCAACCTACTGAGTCCCGGTGTGCGCGGGCTGAGTCGAGCTGTACCCTCTTGTAAGCCTTAAGCAATCTACAAAGGTTGCGCGCACGTTGCTCGGCTCAATCGCATCTGCGCAGGGCAAGCGCGCTTTTGGGGAAAACACAAAAAAATCGCACTTTCCGCGGAGTTTGGAGCTCACCCGGCGTCGGGCGCATTTTTGGTGTGCACTGTGTAGCTGACTAGCATATGGTCTCAAGCCCTGCGGAAGCTTGGTCTCATCTCGCAGTAGCGCTACCATATTTCCCATACGACAAAAGCTTTTCACAAGAGTCACTTCCATTTCACCTGTAGAAATTCTAATGTCAGTGAATAAACCAATCTACTCAATCAAAAATTGTGACTTTGACTTACCAAGATGATTATTATGTGCCGCTTTGAGGATTGATCCCATCAACCTCTCAAAGGGATATGGCCACCAAGATCGCACAGGTCCAAAGTTCTCAAGGCAGTCAGCAAGATGAATTGTCATGTCATGATTTGGGACCAGGGAACAGTGTGGAAAAAGCTTGAGGCATCCTTGAAGGTATGTTTGAAGATCAGCTCAATAATTTGAAATGCAATCAGAGGTCATGGATTGTTTGAGCGCCAGCTTTGTCAAGCATACTAAGTGAGAAAAGTTATGAAGTAAAGCTGCATTTGACTTGCTTGAACCAGTCCATCACACAGTCAAAACAAGAGGTAGCTGAACAGTCACCAGTGTTCTCCATTCATCTGCTTCCATCTTTTCATGACCTTGGTCACCAAGCTGCTTGAGAGGACGTGATATCCAAGTAGGTAAATGTACTCTAGGTAATAATTTGTTTATTGACTGAACCATATTCAGATCAAATACTACTTTGTTTTTGGGAGGGTGAGGATAGCTCCCATCCCAACCATAGTAAGAATCATCCATTGGGTCAAAGGAATCATCACCGGATGATGTGTCCACTCCTAATTGTGCCTCCACTATGGATATGCCAGCTTTGTCTTCAGGTTGATCATGAGTAGAACGCTGTCTGATTCATGTCTTCAAGCTTGCAACTAAATCCCAAATTTGGATTGCTGTCATTGGTTTTATAGGAGCGGTGTTGAGGATATCTTCAGACATTGCCCAAAATCGTGTCACATGGCAAGCAAGGAGACCTAGAATAATATCATGCATTGAGTCTATAACGTGATAATCTGTGACCTTCCAGTAGTCTAACTCTAGGATGACTGAATATCAAACATCATGTTCTTTGAAAATCTTTTCACGTTCTTTAGCTGTGGGTGCATCACGTGCAGCAGTTGCCCACAGTCTATGTTCCTGCAAAGTTTGTGGTATCCAAGTACTCTGATCAATATTATTGTTTCTGATCTAGGAAGGTAACAAAGCGAGCAGAACGCATCGGCACTGTGGCCTGCCAAACCAAGCGCTTGAGGACATGCTGGTAGATCTGCTATGAATGTTAATAATCCCACTCAAATTAGCCAGCCATCTGGGTAGCAAGGCGTTTTGGTTAAGAAAAGTCCTCTATGCCAAAGTTCTTTAAGATCAGCGATAACAGGCCCTAAAATCCAATTAAATCGCTCAAGTCCAGGCTTGTGAGGTCCAGGCGCAATTGCAGCAAGATATATATTAGCGTAGGGTAAGGTCAAGCGTATCATGATAATGAATGTATCTGTTGCTCTATGCCCCTTGGACTTGTTTCCATAAGGATTTATACTGTCAGTGTACATTGCAAATGTTATGTTTCTGGACTTTGATGTAAATTGAACACCATCTGGTCCACAAAATGTTTTCCAGATCTTTGTTTGATGGATGTCATTGATAGTTTCTTCTCTATTAAAAGGTTTTTGTGATTCTGAAAGTGACTTGTCAAGTTCCTCTCACTACAAGAAAGATAATTTTTTCTGGGCAGAAAATTAAATTATTGATACACAAAAATATTAAGAGGCCAGGAGGAGAGCAAAAAATGAATACAAATATGCATCTTGTTCCCTGCGTTGAGAACTTCACTCTGCATATTTTTCCGTATTTTTACAGTCCATATTGATAAGTGTACTAACAATAAACCTTCACAATCATCCAATTACAACTTGTAACAAGCACTGAAATTTGGCTCATTAGTGTTTAGAGAAACTTTTGATTTCTGAAAATACTCATAACTTTTTCCAAAACGCTCAATTTTGGGCGCATTGGTAAGCTGGAATTGTCCTCCAAATAGTTCATAATAGGACCACACAGCATGCTGGTCTGCTAAAAAAGATATCATCTTTTTTATACATTTGTACATACAGATCCATAGAATGATTGTCATACTAGCTACATAGTTTTGATCCCATGAAAGTTTGAGAGGAAGAGTTCAGCTTTCTAATGCACTTAAAATCAAGTGTTTTGAGGCAGATTTGACAAAGTTATAGGTGTTTTCAGAAATCAAAAGTTCCTCTAAACACTAATGAGCCAAATTTCAGTGCTTGTTACAGGTTGTAATTGGATGATTATGGAGGTTTATTGTTAGTACACTTATCAATACGGACTGTAAAAATATGGAAAAATATGAAGAGTGAAGCTCTCACCACAGGGAACAAGATGCATATTTTTATTTATTTTTTACCCTTCTTCTGGCCTCTCAATATTTTTGTGTATCAATAATTTAATTTTCTGCCCAGAAAATATTATATTTTGTGTAGTGTCTTTGATATGAGGTTGCGAGATCAGACTAGCACTGCCAGCATGGATGCCTCGGGTTGAGAAATCCGAGGCATCATCAGAGGCAAATCCTTGGACAGATCTTGTCCGAGGTTTTTGCCCGAGGTATTTTTTTGCCCTGAGAATTACCTCGGATCAAAACCTCAGGAAGCTTCTGTCCGAGGTTGTGCATCCGAGGATACCTTGGATTTTGTAATCCGAGGTAAATATGTTGGTGGTGTAACAATCCAAGTGATCAGCTCTTGAACAGCATACTTTTGGATTGGACGGCCATTTGATTGAAAGAGAGGTGTCAAGCAGATTTTTGGGCTTTCTGTCAATTGGCTGGGTGATTATTGTTGCATGGGTAGTTTGTTGTTCTGATCTATAAGCTCTAGAGTTGCTGGAACCTGATTGTGAAGAAAGCAACATATGGTGTAAGAGTAGTCTAACAGATAAAGCGCAAAACACTCTGGGCAACAGGTATAATATTCCAACAGAGGATCTATCTTCAACCATTGCATAACGGTTTGGATTGTGCTTGGCATTTGTTCTATTGCAAGCTGAGTTATGTATTTGATTCGCTGAGACACATCTTCAGGAGTAAAGCCGGCAAATGTTATATGGATTTCAATATTGTTTTTTGTGCTTGCAGAAGCCAGGATGATTTATTGAGTCAGGTATGATCAAAGATAGCCATACATGATGCAATCAAAGATGTGTGAAGAACAATTGGATTGTCCCCCTCCAGCGTATGAGCCATGAAATTTCCTGTGGGTTTGAAGAGAGGTGTATTAGTGTTACTTTGATCAAAATGAACTTGGATAAGCGGGATGGCACTTTCTTGGATCAAATTGAGTAATCAATCTCCATCCCATTATTCATATGGGAGCTAGCTTCCAAGTTGGAGCAAGTTGATGAGGAGGCTCCAGGTTGGTTAATCAAATTTGATTTCCTTTCTGGTGGCCATGGATTGTTGTCATTGGAATCTTCAGAATCATCAACAACCTTATCAAGTGCTTCAACAACTTTCAACTTTTGATCGTTCAACTGATGAGAAGTATAAGTATTGTGTGTGACTTGCAGGCCTTGGTGATTTCTTCTGTTATGAAAACGTGTTGATTTGATGCATTTCGATCAGAGACCAAGATCTGTCCGCATGATTTTGTTTGATGGAATGAGGATAGGCTAGATGTTGATCAAGACGTTCTGGGTTATGGAATGTGGTAGAGAAGGGGAGAGTGATCTTTAAGGCCAGAAATTGAAACTTCTAAAATAGGAGTTACAGAGCTGGATAGCAGAGGGGAAGAAAGCAGAAGAATTCCGGCTGCGGGGCAAATCCCAAAGATGGCAACTTGAGACTTTTGAAATATTGAAAATAAAACATGTTAGTATGTCATTTCATTGGTCTGCATTTTATGTACTCGGCCAAATCTTGGGGGCACCAGAATTGATTAGTGTGATTTACAAATAAATTCATACAGAGACCATGGATTGAGAACAAAAAGACAAAAAACATAGGAATTCAGAGAATTTTATTACAGATAACATCAATTATTTGCACGGTAAGAGTTTTTTTGCTATCATCTCCTTGACTGGACGTAAGATTGATTTATTGATGATTTTGATTTCAGCCTTCTCTGTTTCATCAAGCTGTTCATAATAGGCTTGAGATATGCAATCTTTGTGGATCTCATCAGGAGGAGCTAGATCACTGATGGGGTTACTAAAACTACGGTGGCGTATTCTAGCCTGAACTCCAGGAGATGTTTTTATGGGGTTGTTTCGCACTCTTGCTTCATCTATAGCTTTGAATATTGAATTTAACTGAGAGCTTCGCCATTGTATGATACAAACTTTACAATGCTTGCGACCTCCTTTGTCTTCATAGTCGGTCTCATCGTTGCTACAGCATTGCTCCACAACTTTGGAAAGAGTCCACAATGATTTGTGGGCCGTGACATAGGCAAGTCTGCCTTTCAAGACCTGGATTGACAGTGTAAGCAAAAACAAGTGTGTAAGCAAAGAAAATGTTGATAAGCTGATAGAAAAGATGGACTGAAGCCTCCCCTTATCTCGTGCTTTGAGTCCCTGGTTAGACCATTGACATTGTTCACGATAGCTATGTAAAACACGTTGAGATTTAGAATAAATGACAGACTTGAAAATCTGTGAACATAAACTCACTTTTGAAACCATGTCCCTTTAATGTGTTTTGTTGTCAAATCCAATATTTTCTTTGGATCAAGATCTTATGGAGAAGCTCCTGAATATTCACCGGATTGAACTAGTTTTATGAATATTGAAGTAGTCATGTTGAATAGAAACACATTTCCAGGACAGCCGAGCAACTCTGAATAATCTGGACAAAAGGACCGAACTCCAACTCTCTGCATAACATCCCACATAATTTGAAGGGACCTATGACTTGCTTTCTTCCCGCCTGGACCGCCTGGATAGGGGAAAATTGGATCCGCTGTTTGAGGAAAAGATGGTTGGTTGGATCCTGGATGTTTGTGTGCCTTGTTGAGCAATTCTTGAATTGATATATTTGCCATCCAGTCTCTTTTTTCAGCAGGAGTAGCGCCGTGAGGTACCATTTTATCTTCTTTCTTTGGCCCATGAAGTGTCCCGATCAGATTTTCTATCAAAACCTATTAGAAATGGGTTAGCGAAAAAGATCCTATCTTTGAAAATATCAGATTCTGAAACAAGCAGGCTGACTCTTATTTTGAAAGCTCTAGCAGGTTGAGAAGGACTGTCATCCACTGTTGAATCTCCAAAAGCCTGTCTCACAGGTTCCCTTTTGTTAGATCTTGTAGGTTCACGCTGTTTCAGTGATTCCTGTAGCAGGTCAGTAAATACATCAAACTTATTGCTCAAAGATGTGATTTGTTGCGCATTGTCAGTGGATAATGATCTTAAATCAACAATTTCAGATCTGAAATGCACAAATCCTAAAAGACTACTTGTAAAAGGCAAGCCAAGACCCTCACCAAACAGGTTCCCCGCATCCCACTCTTCTTCAATCCCATTGACAATAGGAGTACCATGATTTGAAGATAAACGATCACAACCTAGCATGCTTTGTTGCTCACAAAAACCTTCTTCATCTTTGCTCGGATGTTCTTGATTTTCAGCTCTAGATTTACCTTTCCTTCTTTTTAGACCAGGAAAAGAGACTGGCTCACTCTCTTCCTTGTCTTCTGAATCCGGAAATAATATTGAACCAGTAGTTGCTCTTCTAATTATAGGAGAAGTTTGGAAGTTTGGCGTTCCATGAAGATCCAAGGTATCTTCACTTGATTGCTGACTGGAGGGAAGGGAACTGTGTGTTTCTTCTTCTGGCAGCAGTAAATTGTTCTCTGAGTCAGAAGAATTTAGCTGAAACTTTTTGTTGCACATCCTTTTTCTTAAGGTTTTCCGCTTTTCAGAAGGGGTGTTGGTGTGCAGAGGTGGTTGATTAGTTTTGACTAAATCATCATCAGATTCATTGTTGTCGGTGGGAGAGTATTCAGGGCTTGCTGGGTCCTCATCACTTTTTTTGCTGGCTTTGTCTAAGTCTGATAATTGATGATTGATTTTTTTCACATAGGCAAAGTTGGAGGTGTTGGTAAATGACGTGGATTAGAAATTCGCAATCCCAATGGATTAGCAGTAGGGTGTGACAACTTCTTGCGCAGGCGGTTTGTACTGGCGGGCTTGGTTTTCGAACCAACTGAAGGTGAAGAATTTTTTTTGTTGTCCAAGATATTGTTACCCGAGCTACAAGCTGATCTCGGAACAGTGTGACAAGGTCCAAGTGATCCAGTGAGACGTTTTCCTTTCTTGGTCTCAGCCTCTGGAACATTGAATTCAGAATTTCGAGCTGAAAGTCTAGCAGAAGAACATCAAGTCCTCAGGGGTCCAGTTGAAGGGTCTAGCTGGACTTCATTTTCTGCGCCCACATCTGTGAAATGATCATGTTTCCAAAAATAATGATTTAGACAACCTGCCAATTTCAGAGGCACAGGGTGTTGCTTACTAGATGGTGATTCGTCAGTGGTGAAGGTGAATAGTTGACTGCTTCTAGGGACAGTTAATCCTCTTCTTGCACAAGTTTCTGTGTTCTCCGTAACATCTTGGTCTGGGCACTTAGTTTGGCTGTGTCTTGGGGGGCAATTCATTTGGTATCTCCTGTTGCACAGAGCAGCTTGCTTGCTTTCCTTTGAAAGACCATAGCAATTGTATAATTTTATAATGTCTTTGTCACCTTTTTGGTGTTTATCAATATCAAACCCAGCTTCAATTGATGTTGCCTTCATCTTGTTGACTTCTAAGCCATCTTTAAGGACAAGTCAGTTTGGGGAGCCTATGATTATCCAAGACTTAGTACACATGCCGCAGTTTGGAGAAGGAGAGGGACTTACGCCGGAGATTCTGGCAAATCCAGTGTTTTCCAGGGTACGTTTTGATCTTACTGATGACATTACCACGACTTTGTTAATTATGAATTTAAATGTGCAAGTTGTTTGATATGAAAGAGCAGAGACACATAAACAAGTCCAGATGGTCGGCTGAGATTACAAAGAAAAAGGCTCCACTCTATGAAGTCAAGTTACAGAAAAGTTGGGATTGATGAATGTAAAGTGTTGATAGCTCAGCTAGTCAATGAATTGAAATGTAGATTGGAAGATACAAAACACTGGATCTTACAGAGATAGTGTAGACGTATGGAGAAGGATGAGGCGCTCAAAAATAATTAAAAATAAGACAATGAATCAAAGCCAGTTTGATGTGAGGGTTGCGTACACAGTTTGGGAAAACAAGCAAAGAGAGGAGGATTTAAGTATATCAACGTTCATGAGGAACTTGTCCTAGCGATGAATTTTCAAAGTCTCCTCAGCCCCACTCAGGCTAGAGTTGAGTTGTTAAAAGGACTTTGTGCTCAAAGGCTTATTGGCAAGGGCTGGGGAAGGTGAAGTGAATCTGTGTTTTGATGAACCCCCAACAATGGGGAAAAAGTTGAGGAATCTTCCCTTTCTCAGTCTGAGCGAGCCTGGGTATGGAAAACTGGGGATTCCAAAGATCTTCAATGATCAGACAGGCTCAGTGATAATCTGAAAAATGGATCTAACAAGCCAAGCTCAAAGCAAGCCATCAAATTGATCATTGAAATCCAGAAGATCCCAGTTCAGTCAAGCCAGTTGGGCAGGGAGTAGCCGTCCAGGAACTGAATCAGAACCGGGGCAATGAATTTCTGCTTCATACGGAGTAGCTGTCCAGGAACTGAATCAAAACCGGGGTGATGAATGTCACTTGCCACAAACCTGTGGTGCTGTGTCGACTAATTGAATCCGTTTTTGAAACTCAGAAGATCCCGCTATCCAGTTCAGTCGAGCCAGTTGGTCAGAAAGTGGCCGCACAGGAACTGACCCAGAATTCAAAAATACTTGTATATTGACTACACCACAAACCCCCTTTTTGTTGAGAAACCGTTTCTGGGGGGTTTCAAAAAAAACCTGTGAAAACCTGTGATGTTTTTGGTTTGCCCCCTGATGTTTCTTGGTTTTGAAAAAGGTTGACTGGACACAGTTGCTCAACCATCAAAAAGACAGTTGACCAACTGCATCTGCTCAAGCCATTGGCCACCACATTTTCTTCTGTGTAGTGTCATTAGGTTTACGTCCCAGAGGATTATGAATTGGTTTTGGATCATCTTTTTAACCCAGGCACCCAGGTGTGGCCCACAGGCCTTATTGTAACATGACCAAAGGAAACCTTATCCCTTCAAGCCCTTTGTTTCTTGGCTCAACTCCTTGCCTTGAAATGTTACATTCTCATCAAGACTATTCATCAATTCTACTGGTCATCATCACTCAAACAACTTTGACTTCAACTTCAACCTTCATCATCAACACCATCAATCTTGTCACTGGAACATACAAATCAGACATTTTCATCAGACTCACTATTTCAATTGATCACATTGTCTTAATGGGATAACCCAACCTACCTTGATCTGATTTACTCCCTCCATCCCAGCGACTTCCTTCCCAGTGATGGAATTTATCTCAAACGAACGTTGACTGCGGCTGAGGATCAAAACGGCAGACAAGCTCAAAACTTCAGAATCAAAGTTCTTCAGGCGCTAGATCAAGATAATCTTCAACTTGCTTTAGAGGGAGTCAATTTCCATGTTGAAGAATATCTTGTGCTGGATCCTGCAGAACTTTACTAACTCAAGCGTCACAAGGATATTCTGGTTTCCAATGTATCAAAACATACAAAACACATCATGGACACCCAATGTGGTTACAACTTCTTTCAAAGAATCCTCTCACGCACCAGTGTCTCACCAAGTTCAACTCGCATGTTCACCAGTATGGCTGTCAAGGCAAAGCTTGTTATAGAGCTTGACGAAATCAACTTCAAAGCTGCTAGCCAGAAAGTAGGATTTCTAGGTGGAATTGTCAAGAAGCAAGCAAAAGTTTGGTCCTGATGGGGGAAGGCCAACCTGAATCGCACTCATTTTCCTGATTTATTTTTTCTGAACAGTGAGAGGGCGTGTCACTATCATGAGCAAACTTCCGGATCAACAGATACTGAGGCTCCACGTATAGCTAGTAGCTTTGTCACAAAATATTTCTACCGCTCAAGCAAGTGATGTGTCAACACCAATCCTCTTTGAGGATGTTCAACGGAATCCACGTTGTTGATCCTAATCCCCCAACTTACGGTGATGCTACTGATGACCTGTATGTTGGGTCTTTAATCTTATTCCCAGTTTCAATGGCTGAAGACTTCCTACCATGTGCCATCTTGTTTCCGGTAAAACCACATTCTTCCTACCATTGATGTATATATGATGGCTTGAGAAAGTGGAAGACAAAATCTTACTTGGCTTGTAAGAACTTCTTAAACTTTGTAGCCATCTGCTCCTCATATGTCTTGACATTCTGACGAACATATGTCTTCCACTTTGATTCGGACATCTTCTTATTCTTACCTTCAAGGAATGCAATTCTTCTGACTGGAGAGCTAGAAATCTGGCACAAAGATCCGAATCGTGTTATTTCACAACAGGTTGGATGTACTCTGTACTCTCTTACCCTCTGCGCTATACGATATGGAAGGAGTTCTTTGATGTATGACCTGTTTATTCGGGATGCATGAGCTTCAGTTTCTCATGATGTCCCTCTCTGAGAAGGGAAAATGACTTACTTGTGTGTCTTAGACCATTTCAACAACTCTGTCACATGTGGGAAAGTCCACTTCAATCCCAAAGTCTTTCATAATAAAGGAGCCTGATCTAACTTCACAATTTTTCTTTGAACCCTCTACTTGATATGGCTCTCCAGTCACCCGATCACACTGTGAAAATAATGTATTTTTCCAAGGTGAAAAATGATTGACATTAATGCACAAAATGATTAATAATGCAGAATTAATGCAGAAAAATGCAGAATTAATGCAGAAAAATGCAGAATTAATGCAGAATTAATGCATTTTTAATCATTTTGTGAAATAAATGTAATCATTTTTCACCTCGGAAAAATACATTATATTCACAGTGTCAATCAAATAAAACATCCCATATGAATAGTGTGTATAGTCGTGATCATCAGTATGCACTTGGTTGTTGAAACCATCACAGGTTACAACTAGATTTGTGGCAAACACCCTCCCATTAGGGGTTTGATTCCAGTCCAAGTGATCAAAGCCAGGAATGTTGGCCTTTGTAGGTAGGTTTATGTTGCCGTTAAAGGCTGATAGGCAGAGGGAGGAGAATTGGTTGGCCTAAAAGTCTTGAACCTTGCTAAATTCCTCCATTCGGCAACAATCTGCCACAATTTCTTCTTCTTTGTTGATGGAAAAGTTTCTGAGCGCATAAGGTCCCGTTAAGATTTCAATAAGTAATTCAGCCTCAGAGATGTCAAGTTTCATAAGGTAATCTGCTCACCAATACGTTTACCCGGATCCAAGGCACCTCGCCACCCGCAGCACCCCATCCACCCCCGCCATATGAGCACTAGGATGAATAGCTGTATTGACTTGTGGAGGGTGTTGGTCAATCTAGCTCTAGAATGTAAGTAAGGAGTGGAGATCCCAAATCTAAATCTTTCTCTCTCCTCATTTGACATTCTCTTGAGTTGGTTGCATCAAACTGCTATAACTAGGGATAAATCCTTTTCATTTACCACCACCGTAGTTCCAGACTTGATTTTGTAAACTTCTAAGTGATCTCCCTTGGCTCGATCCTTGGAACTCTGGCGAAAGATGAATTTCGCATCTCCAGGAACGCCTAGACGGTTAGCAAGCGAGGATATTGACTTGTTCTGTGCAGAAAGTGGAGATCCCATTTTATTTAATAGATGAATTGAGCTACAGCATAACAACTGATTGAGAAAGAGAAGATCTCTCAGTCAATCTGGATCAACGAAAGCCAAGGCTAAAAAAGTGAGAGCAGATCTGGTAAAAAAAACCCTCACAAGTTTTTAGGAAACCAATGTATAACTGAGAAAGCTTCTTGAAACTGACAACCAAATTCACAAACTTTCCACCGAGGGGTTCTAAGATAGCTTGTAACAGATAAATTCCTGACAAAATTTCAGTTGGAGAAGCCGCTGAAATTAGAAAGGTAGGAAGTCTCAATCAAGGCTTACCAACAAGAGAACTTATTGAGCTCAGTATACAATAGGTCTTTAAAATCAGTTCCAGGCCAGGAACAGCTTTTAACGAGGAGATGCAAAGACTGAACCGACTTGTCAGGGTAAAGCTCACAGCCCCTCTGTGATTTCCTGCTTTTCCCCACAGATCCTTTCTCATAATCCTCAGTTCCCGGCCAGGAACAAGCCACATAGCTTCTAGCCTCAGTTAGTGTGTTATGTGACAAATGCTCAACTCCCTGTCAAAAGAAAAATCAGTTCCTGGCCAGCAACATTGTTCTCTAATCATAAAATTCACGAGCCGATCCCTCAAGTGTGTGTTACTCAGTCATTCAGAAACCTTGATCATAGCGATGAGACTATGTTTTCATTCGATAGCATTCCTTCTGACGTCTAGAAGTTCTCACCAACTAAATCAGGCTCTGGATTTATTGTTTGATAGGCAAGTTGAAGTCTCTACTAAAGGAGTCCTTGCTAATATTGGGGGAATCAATGGAACTGTGAGCATCTTGTGGATCACTTGAGGGCACTGATTGGACGTTGAAAAAACAACTCATGTTTGGCTGATAAGAAAAGCTATTAAGATGGAATTAAAAACTAAAGGTTCATCAGTTTGGACATCTGAAATAGCAGTAAGAGAAAGACTTACTTCGTGAAAAAGAAGTGGAGAGGATTTTGATACTTTTTGGTTTTTGATTTGTCTTACTATTTGTATTTAACTTGCGTCTACTATCCCTTTTGATTACAGATACATTTTACAACTTGAAGGTAAGCCACTCACCCCTCATACCACACCTATTAGAAACAAAAAAAACATGACAGTTTTTTTCATAAATTATTTTATCAATTCTCTTACCCCAATCTTTCTATTATTTAACTAATGTTTTATAACCTTCTTTTTTCAATTTTGATAGATAAAACTTTTGATGGAAGTATGGTATGGGAAAAAGGTTTTGGTGGAGGATATACAAGGTCCATTAAAAACTCCACAAGTAAGTTTTCTCACATATACAAAATATTTTATGAACCTTTTTTCTTTTAAACCAAGTTCTTATTCATAAATTATATTTCATCAAAACTAATCTAAGATCTTCTTAATTTTTTTCTTTTTGAATAAAAAATAGTTAATGATACATTTGAAAAATGAACTTTATAAATTCTTTCTAAGATTTTTCTTTCAATTACATGATTAAAGATAGTATTTGCAGATAATTACTCCTAGATCCCAAAATAACAAATGTGTATGTATTTGTGATTTTTGTTTTGTCAATTACATTTTAATTTTCTTATAAACTGAAGTTTTAGTTCATATAAAGTTAAAGTGTTATATGAACTTATATACCTATGAACCTACTCACATATCTAAAATGCAATCTTCTACTAATTTGTTAACGTGTGTGTGTTTCAATTCTATTATAAATGAATTCTGTTAATTGCTTTTATACGTTTTTTAAGAGAAAGTATACCTAGTTGCAGTGAGAAGTTTAAATGACACATGAATTTTTGAAAGCTTAAATGAATTTGTGAAAAGTGATGCAAAAAAATGTTGTTTGATTTTGTGAAGTTTTGATCATCTTTTTGAAGAGTTGAGTTGAAAAATCGTTAAAACTTCTTCACTTGATTATAATTGATGTATATGAGGTTGAATACCTTTCAGGTTTTTGAACACTTTTCAAGATCAAAATTTCCTCAGGCTCTTCCTTAATTGATAGAAAAAATTAGGAAACATGCAAGATATTTCAATCAAGACATGAAAAATTGTTCACCTCATTACATATCTGTGAATGAAGTTTGAAAGGATAGCTTGGAAGTTTACTTTAGAAAAGATTTGCTCTATAAATCTCTCAAGTATTACTATCAAGCACATCAAGACCATAAAGTACGTAGATATGTAATATAATTGATGATGACCAACCCTTTTCACAGCTAAGGAAATATGTATAAGCTTAACTTATAATAAGCCTGTTTTAGCCAGCGTGTTTGGGGCCAGGCGTGTGTTCAGGATAAAAATTTCTCTTAGATTCCAAGTTCTTCAATCCAAATCCACAGATACAAAGATTCTTTTTGTTAAATATTTTTGATAACCAAAGAAATTTATATAATTGACAAGATGTATTTTTAGAAAGAAAAACATTGATATATTGATTGATGTAAGTTGTTGATTATATTAACTCTTTGAACAAATAAATTTAGACTGATTGAGAATATGTCTTTGATTTATGAGGTGAGTTTGATATGATTCAAGATCATTTTAGGAAAGTTGTAGATTTCTTTGGTGTTCTTTGCTCTGATGGTGTTGATGATTTGTACGGTTTTGGTAAGTAAACTATATCTCAATTATTGATATTCAGTAGTATTAAAGTCTTAGCTAGTAATAGTTACATAGGAATGTTTTAGGGTTTGATCTGGCGCACAACTTTTTTGATCATTACTTTCATGGGAGATCAGTCTTTTTATAATTCTTATTGATTCATTCCAATTACATGATTTTTTTTCACAAAGGTGACTTTTAACAGAACCAACTGGTTTACATCTAGTTTATCGTGGTAATTTTGTGGTTTGATCCTTCCCAGAAAATACATTTGATTTTGGAAAAACCAGGCTTCTGCCTTCTGATAGGTCTCCAGCCTCAAGGAACCAGTGTGAGAGATAGTCAAAACAAAGATTTTTGGAAATATTGTACCAAGTAATTTCAGGTCTTATAAAGTGGCCTGCATCATCAAAGAGACCATCCATCAGCCGCATAAGCATCTGATTGCTATGTTTGAAGATAGGCTCTTTCACTTGCAAGTCTGGTTTTTGCTTGAAAAGCCACCCTGAAAGCACTGTGAAGCTGAGCATTTGACCAGCCCGCACAAGGTTTATATTGCCTGAGCAGCAAATCAAACCACGGATCCCACAACAAGCAAACATCACAAGATAGGCAAGGGTCGGAGCCTTGACAGAATCACCTTTCCATTCTTTTTTGAAGCTGAGTGCAAGTTCTTTGTCTTCAGGTTGCACGTCTTCATTCAATATAACTTGGCTTCAAAGTATTGAACCACATAAGCATCCAGCACCTTGATGAATAAATCTCGCCATTGTTGTACGAGACCAATGTCGCCTAGAGGTTTAAGATTGTTTGTATCAAGAAGCCACATAGGCTTTGAATCGTTTGCTTTTGCAGCCTTCTGTGAATGGAGTCATTCAATCGTTTGGCACACTGCTTCAATTCCAGTCCTGGCCTTTTCTTTTTCTGAGGGAGGAGGTTCTTTCAAGAAAGTTTTCCCGGCTAAGACAACAGAATCTAATAATATTTTTAGGAAGGCGGTAACTTTTGTTGGTGATGGTCGAATAGACATTTGCATTGATTGGTAAGTGTGATGCCAGAGGGGCGGTACACACCATGAGGAACTTTGTCCGACATTGATTCCTTCTTCAATTGGGTAGTGTTGAACAACCCAACTGAGTAGGAAGGCTCACCTGAGTGAGAATTGAAAAGATTAGGCACTGTGTGGAACACAAATAAGGATGTCAGTGGACTTCATGCCTAGAGAATGTGGATACTTACTCACATGTTGTATGGCTTCAAACCAGGTCTGCGCATTAAACTGGGTCCTGATCACCACACTGTTGGTACCATTATCAATGGAATCTAAGAATTCCGGATCCAACGGTTTCCCCACCCGTCTTTGTTCTAATAAAGAAGTCAAGGCTTCCCATGCAATAAGCTTTGCATTCTTACTGCATTGATTTCCATTGTATGGCGGTAAGAGTTCATTAAGCTCCTTCTTGATCTGATCCAAACCTATGAAAAACTTGACTGAGATGTTGAAAAGAATCAGCAGGGTGTGTGGTGAAGTAAAATGGACTTTGATCTCACAGTTGACGGCTGCCACTTCTTTCTCTTTCTGACTATGTTTTTTCAAATCTTGTTCATCATTTTTTGAAGCCTTAAGGGCGCGTTCACTTAAGCAATTTCTGGTGAGAGTTCACATTCTGCAAAATTTAAAATGTCTATTTGGTGGGGCATGTTACATTTTTGCATTAAAAAATTTACAGAATGTGATTTCTGGTCAGAAATTCCTTAAGTGAACACGGCCTAAGTGTTGAAGACTTAGATTTTTTACTACTATCAGTGTATTTGGGAATAAGAACCGCTGAAAGTGTTTGTTTCCTCGTCCTCAGAGTCCTGGAATTGTTTGAATCTTCCGTCGGATTATGTATTTCATGACTATGCTTGGATTGGTCAACTGCACTTTTTGGCTCAGAAGATTGATGTATAATAAGATTTGAATGAGATTCATCAATTTCCATTTCAGACTCAGCTGATTGAACTACATTGGGGGTTGAATTTGGAACATTTTTTACAGTTGAGGAGCTGGGGCCTTGATTGACGACAGGATCCAGATCCGAATTTTCTGTTTGGTTTTCAACATTGGTGTCTTGATTGGTGGTCGGAAGTGAATCAATTTGGCTCATAACACATTCAGTTTCTTTAGATTGGATGGAAGTCAGAGTGGAATTGGGATCTACAGTTTCCTTTTCAGATTGAGTGGATTGGCTGACAACAGGTGCTGACTTTGATTCATTGGATGAGGTCTCAGACTGCCTATATTGTACGTGAGGAGGAATCAACTTGGCCCCTTCATTGCAAGAATCAGTATCTTGATCAAAAGTTTCAACTTCTTCAGAAACATCAATTTGATTTGGTGATTTTGGAGTGGATTCAAGAACTCTCTTCATGTTGCTATCTTCTCTTCTGCCTGTAAGTCCATATGAGACCAGTTCAACTTATCGTTATTCTGCTTGTTGTCTCGTTCCTCGGTAGGCAGCATTTTGTTTTTGTCGGGATAAATCAAATTTTGGCTTGTGCTAGGTGTCAAGTCGGGGTTTTGGTTGGAATTGGCATTGGGGAGCTCAAACGGGAAGCCGTATTTGGTGTGCAAATCCTTGTCATTGTCATCCAGTACAATGATAGTGTCCCCTTCAGCTGGTAAAGGTAGCTTCTGTATTATGGCTGTTTCCAGAAAATTATCAACACACATTCCAGATGATAAACATATTAAGAGAAGAACACATACCATTCCCTGTCCTTTTACATTGAAAAGTCAGCCTCTCCAGTTCCTCTGCCATTGGTTTTGTTAAACAATCTGACCTCTTTGCTTTTTCAAGAGCTGCGATGAGTTCAGAATAAACGGGTAGTGTGGTCAATGCCCACAAGGGCTTTTTGTCCATGGTGATATCATTAGGACCGTCAGTATCAGGAGATTGTAAACAAGATTGCACAATCCTTGTAGTGGTAGGGTGTACAGGAGACAGGTGTATCTTATAAGGAATTAGAAGTGGAACATTCTCTTCTAATTCATCAGTTGAAGATATGACAGAGCTTTCGATTTTTCCTTGGATATTTCTCAAATCGCTAAAAGCCGTTGGGGAAAGGCTTCTCTTCTGCTGAAGCTGAACAGGTGAATCTAAATATTTTGACTATTCCATCTCTAAATATCCTCTTCTTCAATAATCATGGCAGCTGAATTAGGCTGATTACTCGTGAGAGCTTGAGGTAGAGATATCATGGTGCTTGAATAGGATAGAGAATCTGTTGAAGCAGAAGTAGGAGATACCAATTCATTATTTGGGGAGGATTCAGGAGCTGGTAGAAACGTTGGTGAACTTTGATTATCTTCATCAGGTTAATTGCTATCTTTGGAAGTGGCTGAGTGTATATTGATGAGTGTGAGGTTTTGAGTTGGAGCAGGCAACTCTGGCTGGGAATGATGATCAAAGTCTTTGCTTCCAAGATCTGAAGAGTTCAAACTGAATAGGTGTTCCTGCGCTTTGGCAATTTGGGATGCAAGCTGATCTGATATAAACAATGGATGCTCTTTGCTAGGACCATTGGTTGTACAATTCTTGCGATTTGCAATGTTCAAGGAAGTCGATTCAATCATACAGTTGGGAGCTTTAGAGTCTTCTATGACAAAGCTGTTGAGAGTACCACGATCAAGCTCGGGTTTTCTAGTTGTGTTGAGGGTGGGTGACGTAGATTTGACCCCATTTGAGGTGTTTGTTTCTTTCAAAGGATTGGATTCAGTGATATCTTGCGGAGCTTCAGCAGGTTTAATAGTTCAATTGTTCATGTTATCCTCATCTAAGGTGGCTTTGCGGGTTGTATTAGTGGTGGCTAAAGTGTGGTGTTCTTGAGTTTCAACATCTACTTGATCCAAAGACATCAATTTCACAGTATCTGGCAGAGCATTAGAAGGTTTTCCAGTGGAGTCATTCAGCTCGTTGACGTCAAGAACAGTTTCACTAGTTGTACTGTTCTTTATCAAGGTAGAGGAATCTTGATCATTCATCTCTTCTAACAAAGTCCTTGACTCCATGAGATCTAGCACAGCATTGGAAGTTTGTTGTTTGGAGTTTTGTAGATCGTCCTTATCCAGAGTAGCCTCAGGAATCAAATAGGAATTATTGGAATTTATATCAACAAAGCTAGTCTCGGTATGAGTTTGAAAACTGATAAATTAAATTGAGATAGGGATGAATAGGGATGAATTTGAAGGACAACTTTGTCAATCCTGGGAGCGGTTAAGAAAAGATCAAAAATCTAACTTTGCGACTTGGGTTCCCAGGGGTTGATGTAGATTCTAATTTTTTTATTTTGTTTTTAAGCACTTTGGAATTACATTTTGCCCTAACAAACTCCGTTTTATGTAATGTAACTATCAAACAACTTCAGAGAAGGGTCTGACTCAATGGATATATTGTTAGTTTTTGATTTCATTTCCATTATTTTGTATATCAAGTGGACTGATCACATCTCTCTTAATTGTAATTCATTATCTTAGTTCTGTTCAAGATGATCCTTTGAAAAGGTGGCCAACTGACACAATTTTTAAGAACATCTTGATAAATCAACACTTGACAGTCTAATTCATTCTAATTGAATTCAACTCTATCCTTTTATGCTGATGCTGAAATATTGATGCAAACCAAATACAATTTATAGTGTTAGTTAAAACTAGAAATTCATTTGGGAAGCATAGGTCTCAAATGGTTTGGGATTGGTATTTATATATGAAATCTTATCTTGTTATACGTTAGTCAAATCTTTCTTTCTTCTTTACTTTGTTCTCAATTGAATGATTTGAGATTGGTAAAACTTACTTTTGATTTGACATTGGCTTTTGGGGGGATCTAGGCACTTTAATATCATTGAACATGTGATTTATATTTTCCAAACATCAGAGCATTGAAAGACAAGATTTATCTTTGTTCAATTGGAGCATCATGCTTTTTTTGTCTCTCGTCACAAATGCATCAATTCCTTTTGGTTAACTCCATTTTTTAAAAAGAGTCCTGTTCCATATCAAATTCTATAATTACCAGTTTGACAATTCCCTGAATTCAATGAATCCAGCAACTCCGGAAGTTTAATTCATTACACAAAAGGGTTGGAGCAATTGAGCTGCTCAACAGGTAGCAAAGGGCACAATCCTGGATTCAACTGAGGAATATAAATGACAGTCAGCCCAGTGTATTGGTGGCGTGCTTAGCATTCTGAAAGTTGACTGAAGTTAGAAAAACCAGGAACCGCTGAAATTTGGTTTGCCATACAGGAGGGTTGAAAAAGTTGAACAGAATTCCAGTTTGACAGTTCCCTGAATTCAGAGAATCCAGCAACTCCTGAAGTTTAGTTTATTACGCAAAAGGGTTGGAACGATTGAGCTGCTCAACGCGGGCAATTGTGGACTCAACTGAGGAATATGAATGAAGGTCAGCCCAGTATATTGGCGGCTTGCGTAGCATTCTGAAACTTGCCGGGAGTTAGAAAAACCAGCAACTGCTGAAGTCTGGTTTACCATATAGGAGGGTTGAACATGTTGAGCAGCTCAACAGGAACAATCCTGAATTCATCTGAGGAATATAAAAAACAGTCATCTCAAGATTTTAGCTGGGATGAATGTTCATCTGGGCAATTCTCCCTCCACTCCCTAAACTTATGAAGTGCTCAGGATAATCAATCTCCAGCTCAGTGAACCTGGGTGTGTCCAAGTCTGACAAATAAAGTAATTCAAAGTAGGCAAAGATATAACTACTATTTGAAGGATGGAGGAAGCCCCTCACAGAATAATTTTTTTTACATTGCCAAACACGCCTTGCTGATATTTTTAAGCAGTTTTATTTTAATCCTGAATTCAAATCATTGAACCTCTTAATTTTTTTCACTTAGAGTTTTCTATTTCAAGAATTACTTATTGAATCAATCATGTCGGATGCCGCTTCTTCCTCTGTTAACAAAACCAACCCACTATGGGGTAGACTCAAGGTGGCCCAGAAATCAAAACGCCTTGGTTTTCTGATGACGCTTGATGAGAAGATTGATTATAACCAATTCTTATGCAGTATTGGAAGGCTACAACAGATAATACATCTCCCCAGTGTCAAGACGTGCTTTTGCCACATTCTAAAAAAAACGAAGTGATTAAACACTACAGGCAGTTTGCTGCACCAATGGTCGATAGCTTTGTTCTTTCCCTCAATCAAAACTTGACTTCACAATCTTTGCCGCCAGGGACTTCCAAATCCAAACAAGTTGAACTCAATGTTAACAAAGATGTCCAGATGAACATCAAAAAAAAATCCCCACCAGAGCTTGCTCAGACGGGATAAAGTTTTACGTCAACTCAATTTCAAATGGCTAAGGAATCCTCAGAAGCAGTTTCATGAACTGTGGCGCCCTCTACCTCTGCATTCCTGAAGACAAGAATGAGCAGCCTGAGTGAGTTTGGTGTTATTTCCCTTTAACTCAGTCATGAATTCCAGGAAGGCTTTGTCAAATAACTGAGACACATATCTTTTTGATGACTGAGGGGTTATGTATAGATAAGCCTACAGAATTTGTGAACACTTCCTTGTCAACAAACCCACCTCAAATTCATTTATCAGTTGATATATTTATTAAACCTATCTCCTAATCACAATTCTCACATCATAGCTATAAACATATTTTTCACTACCAGCAGTCTTTGGGGTTTGTGAACACTTCTGTGTTGACAAATTTGACTTAACTTAATATCTCATTTTATCTCTATATCAAATCCATTTTAAAATTAAAAGTTTCCTTTTTCAAATCCTAGCTATAAGCACATTTCCTTGCTTCCAGTGACTGTGCCAAGGATCACCTGCTCCAACAAGCTCTAACCTCAAATCTAACCTTCAATAAATGTCAAGCCCGGACTCTTTCAACTCTTTTGGATGCCCTGACAACATCGAAGGTCTGCTTTCTTATCAAGTCTCATTTCTTGCTGAAGCCCACTGATTAACATAGCATATCCTTTGCTATCCTGCTGGATCTGCAGCCCGTGTACCAGCCCTGATTCAGCTTATGGAAACCAAACCAAACCTTTAAGCTCAGGCTCCCACTTGCATACTCCTTTCAACACACCACCTTCTTTACGGCATTGTCAAGGTTTGAGATCAGACCCCCGTGGCCGCCTGATGCAGCACCGCTGCAAGTCTCACCTCTTCCAAGCCCAGAAAAGGATTACAGCATCAATCCAGGACAAGAGGAGACCTCTACACCTACTCAGGCCCATACCTTCGATTCCCAGGCAATAAAAAAAGGCTGCTTTGTTCTTGCGTTCCCAAAATCTTTGCGCTGACTTTGTGGAGAAGTTTGACAACAAAGCCAAGTGGGAATGGCTGAACAGCTGAATCAGAAACTCGTGCCAGTCATCTAAAAAATGAATATATTTGAATATGAATCTATGCATAGTGAAGCTTATTAATATTTCTGTTGTCTGTATTTTTCTTATGTCTCTCTATGTTTAATTGTGGGATTCAATCTTGTTTTGGGTTTTTGGTGTGTAGACCCCTGTTGTTAGGGTTTCAAATCTTATTCTGTGAAATTTATGTATTTGAAATAATACAACAGCAAAAGTTAACTTCTGGACATGGTTGCTTTCAAGTTGACTGATCCAAATAGACAATTACAAAGTGAATCCTGACTTGATGAATTCCATGCTGTTTAATTTCAAATATGAGGGTTTTACAAGATCCTTGGATCTCTTGTTTACACATTCATGATTTGTGCTTTTGATATGTGATCTTTTTGTTCCTTGTGTGTTCAATTCCAGTCAGATTAGATTTACTGTACTGGTCATCAGTTATCTGAAGTACAAAGCAAAGTCAATCTATACCTAGTCTCCTCAATTGCTTTTAATTTCAAGCTGTTTTTCAAGCTCAACTAATTAACAACTTACCTGAAGGGTGGGGCCTGTGGGGATTTAGGTATGGTTCAAGCTCTGCAGGAAACTGTCCCCCTTTTGACAGAGCACTTAGATTACCAGCTCGTCGAAAGATTTTGCAAAACTCATTACTAATTCTCCGTTGGATGAGGCAAATGTAGAAGCAATTTGGATGGTAAGTCAGTTATAGATTTTTCAAGAGAAGGTCATGCTGAGAAACATTATTATTGTGATTGGCCTGTAAGATGTGGCACATTTTGCTTTGGTATGGTTGGCCATCAAGCTGAGCTACATCATCTACCTCCGTTGCTCGAGTCCTGGAGATGAAGGGTTTTAAACATTTGCATTACACTAATCAAAATATCTTGGACCCAAAGTATTTCTATGGTGACATGGCTATTCAGTCCAAAACAAGAGGTAATTTCCTGTAGGGGTCAAGGACTACAATTTTTTAAGCTGCCTGCGCAGTTTCTATGTAATGAATTTTTTGCAGGCTACATATTCAGTGCTGGGTGTTTGCTGCACTTGAATATGTAGCATGCTTTTACACCACCACATGATATAAACAAGTAGAAGGGGTATCTGAATGGTTTCACAATGTACCTAGTGCTATTGAGTTTACACATGCTGCATCGGCCCTGGCCAGGCTCAAGGGGGTCTTGAACCAATGAAATTTTTGAAAGACTACAAGTGAGCTTCCCCATGATTGGTATTTAAATAGATACTTGAATGCTGATTTTTAGTGCTACATATATAGGACCACACATTTGTATAATCTACACAGGTTGTCTCAAAGTTATGTTAATATTACATATATAGCTCCACATGGTTTTAGAGGCTACATTTGTAATCTGATATGTTTGTGTATATTTTGATAGAGGTTTGTTGAGGCTACATTGGTATTCTCATATGTTTCCTTAGACTACATATATGGTGTTACAAGTTAGTTGAAGCTACATGTATATGTAGTCTCAAATATGTGCGCAGATTTGGGCTATGACCTGGCCTTGCCCTGCCCCCCCTGCCCTGCCCAAAAATCCTTTGGACAGAGGAGAGGGACACACCCCATCCCCTGTGCTTGGTCTGAGGAGCCTTGGAAGCCTTGTATCAGGCCTGGGCTTCTGGGACATTGGCCCTGATGGTTATGCCCCTGTGCACCAAATATACTGAGCTGGCCCTGGCCTGCTTAAGGATACAGCCGGGTCTTGGTAGGGCCTGCAGATGTCCCGGGGCAGGCCACATTGCTTCAGGGCCGGATCATAGCGCTGGCTTACATGACATATATAGCTGCACATATTTGTTTTCATTGAAAGTGGCACACACCCCGCGTCAGCTGGACTTGACCTGAGGAGCCTTAGGTCTTGGGTCCGGGCCTCCGGGGTCCCGGGCCTGACTATATTGGTCCCAAGCACCAAATTCAGCTCTAATCTGGCCCTGATCTCCTTAAGAATGAAGCCAGTGGTCAGCTTGGCTGGACAATGCCCCAGGGCCAGCCCCATTGCCTCAGGTCCCGGGTCATAGCCGTAGTCTACATACATATGTGATCTCAGATGTTTTTGAATTGGATAATTTGTGCCAAATTTTTGTTGAGGCTACATATGTAGTCATACATATGTATTTATCTTGGGTACATATACAGTGCTACATGTTTGATAAATCTACAAATAGGGGGTCTCAAGTCAAATTATTTACAGTAATTTGCAGTACAGTAAGTTGTCCAAGATAGTAAAATTTACCATAAAATTTAAAAAACTTGTCTGTCTTTTAAAAAGTTTCACAAAATCTTTTTGACTTGAATCCCCTAATGTAGTCTCAAATTATTGCTTAGATTACATATGTGGTATCACATTCTGGCTAATGGTACATATGTAGTGGTAGATGAACCCCACATTGAAGATGCCCTCAAAAAGGAGGGATTTTAGGAAAAATGAATCTGAACTCTGGTCCTGACTCAAAGTTTAGGAGGGCTCAGTGGCTCAGTATCATCTTTAATTCTAACACATCATGAATTTTTTTCCATTCATTTTCCAACCTAGGTATTTTTATTGATTATTTTCCTTAGGAGGGTTCATTTTCCACTTGTGGAAGTTGATTAATTTTCTCAGTGCTACTCCATGATTGGTATATGATTCCATTTAGAGATATCCAACTTTCATCTTTCCTGGTCTTGTTCCCTGAAATTATGGACTGACTCACAGTTTTGGTTTCATCTTCACATTGATGTCATCTTTTTTTCTTTTCACAACCTCAGCAGACTCATTTGCTTGAATACTTTGTAGGCCTTGCGCCAATATGCTTGTGTGATTTTGTTCCTAAAATCATTGTACAACTTGTTTGCCGTATCAGTTTCACTTTGGAATCATCCTGTTTTTCTCTTCCCAAAAGCCAGTGGTCTTGCATGTTTCATCACTTGTATGGCTTGCACCAAAGTGTCCTGCTTGTCAATTCAACCCCCCTTATTGATTATCAATATTGAAGACAAGTTGTACAGACAATCAAAGTGAACGTCCATATATGAGCTCAGTTGACATATGTGGTGGATACATTACCACAATCAAACCTCTATACCCACCTACATATTGCTCACAACAAGCGAGAAAACAAGCTCAAGATTTCTCAAAAAAAGTTTATAAAAGAGAACTCAGACAGCTACAACAATTATAAATTGTGTGGCCCTTAATCAAGAAATTTGAGCAAATTGTACCCGGACTATGTCTCTCTTATAAATCCATAAAACACCTCAAAATGTGACTTCATTCACTGTCCTGGCTTGATTAACCTCCTCATAAACACCGGAAGTATATCAATGTGAGTCAATTACAATAAGGAAGGTCGAATCATCATATCCAACTACATCATCATAGTCAAACACAGGAGTTTGTGGGAGAGTTTGTTTGTGGCTCAGTACGTTGGGTTGATTGATTGTATTGTTGAACAAGGTCATCCTGCTCTGGCCCTGAAAGCCTTTGGATCACCCTCTCATGTGTCGTGATCCTGTGATGAGCTGAATCCAACTCTTCCTTGAGATCAAGTGCCTCAACCTCTAGAAATTCAACCTCACTTTCAAGTTGTTTGATATCCATGATTGCTTTGTCAAGTAGACTGAACGCTTTATTGCCAACTTCACTCCCAGGCATAGTAGGTGATTCCATAATGATTGTCCATAGTGATTCTTGAAAATCCACATACCTTGCCCTTTTTCTTGTAAGGTTTTGACTGAATACATTATAATTTTCTCCTCAAGTGCTGCGAGTGAGGTCTGTAGATGAGCCAATTGTGCTCCGCATTTCAGGTCTACAATACAATAGCCAATTCAATTGAAATTCATCAACACATCAACAAATGTCATGGAAAGAATCAAAACAATGTACTCTTACCTTTGCATTTATCCTTCTTGTTCTGTTGACCAACATCCACATTGGATTTCTTTGAAGCAGAACCATTGGTCGGAGTATCTATAGCTTTGTTAGCTGAATGTTCTTTAGATAATGTTGGCAAAAGCTTTGGTTTGGTGGAGAGATGGAATTTGCAACCCCAGTTTGCCAATGTCTGAAGTTTCAGATCGGATTTTTGCACCGGCACCTTTGCCAGTTCGAGTTTGAGTTTGAACCTGTGTCTTGTGTGTGTCTCTAGAGTACACTGTTGTAGACACTTCATCTCAGCTATGGGATTGATTGCAAGGTCCAAAAGAAAAGATAGCAATTCCAAACCTTCAACTGCTTCTTGAACTGCATCATCCGACATTGATGAAACATGCGATAAAGGAAACAGTGAATTCAAATCACAATGATGATGCAACATATCTGGTTTTGTAGTGACCAGATGATCTGGTTGAACTTGGATTGACTTAAAATTGTCTCAAGGTACAATAAATAAGGAGGTGATTGACGATAATGAGCTGGGTTCGAATGTGAGAGAGAGCTGGGGAATGAAGTCAAAAGGGAGTACAATAAAAACATCATTCAAGTTAAAGGTAAACCATGTTTGCCGGCGAAACCTGATTTAACTCCCAATCCCTACTATCAATTTCCAGGTATACACGTTCACCGGATTTAAAGTGCTTTGTCTTCTCAATTCTGTTTCTTGTGACCGGCTTCATAAATGCCTTCATTGAATGTGCATCATGCAAACTTCATGTGATATTTAATCATAAACCTGTCAGCCCTGAGCCCTGATTACAGGACCACGGGCTAACAGAATCACGTGTAATAACATAAATTTGTTAAAAGCCATAAGATACATCTCAAGGCTCAGTGTCAAGAGCCACTTAAACACATGTACGTAATGTATTAAACACATAATAAACCTAACCCAAGCATTGAGACAAGAGTCACGCGGCAACCACAAGTTGACGCCTGCCCTTGTGAGTATATAAACCCCTCCTTCTTCCCTTGATTCATCCCACATCTTTGAACACACCACAACACCAGAATCACATTATACTTGAAATCCTATTGAGAGGATCATCGAGTACGTGATTAGTTGTGTAGTCTAAAGACCATCTTTGAGCATTACGGGTTCCATTGCTGAACACCCTTGGTACTGATTTCTACGAGCCCTGGGCCATAAACGTCTCTAGAAATAAACCATAAAGCAGCAAAGCTTCCTCCCTCATCAGGAGTCTAAAGTAGCCTCAGGATCTTTGGTTTACCAAAGTGTAACGCCTGCCCCTCGCAGTCTCACGAGGTTTTAGCGTATTTACGCGTAATAGCCCTTTCTTTCCCCTTTATTTCCTTAAACCCTCTTCTCAGAGGTCAACTAACTGTAGTCTTCACTTGGGTGTACCAATTGAAGACCAGTTTTACCTTTCTCTACGCCGTTCTCAGTGAAGAGTACGCCTAACAGACGCGTATTCCTCACAACTTGGGGGCCTCATCAGTGTTTTGTTCCTCAGTCATCCTAGAAAATAAGACCAATTATCTCTATCCTAATCATCTATTTTCTTTCCCAATAATACAAAAGTCAAAAAAAAAAAAAAATTAGGATTCTTTTTCATCCTGATTTGATTAATATCAGTAGTGCGCATCACCATTAGATTGCAGGATTGTGATTTTATTCATTTAAGATCACAATTTTCTCCTCTGTTTGTTTTGTTGAGATCACATTCCTTAGAAAAAAGGAGGTGACCTTTTTTGTTTTTATTTAGCTCTTCTTTTCAAACTCAATTTTAAATTACTTCACACCCCATTTTGGGTTTGAGTAACAATTGTAATATCCACAAATTACATTTAGTGATTGTTCCATAAAGAAAGTAGTACACAACCACATATAGATAATTCTATATCACTGTACTTAAGGAGTCTGCAGAAAGTCACAATAACAGTGTGATCTGAATTACATTTCTTACCACACTAAAATATTGAAAAACACGTGTGATAATTTACATACGCCAGTAAAAGCACTTGTTGTGTGAAGTACACACACAGAGGCTTTTCGAGTTAGACATATAGAACTGTCATAGATTGACAGGTAGTCCACCTGTCACATAGGTGATCCTTTCATTAAGAACCGGGTAGTTTACCTGCTTCAGGTTGCAGACTAACCCTTTCTCCACTCGAACACAACCCCATCCGTTGATCAACCAATACAACAACACCCAACAATGACAAGGCTGTGGAAGACTTATTATAACCACCTTTGAACTCTGAGAAAAGAAAATTGTGAAACAATTTTAGTAAGTAAGTGTTGAACTCACTAAAGTATTATTCTCTGATAATTGAAAAACTAACAGCGAGTACTCTTCTTTTCCCACTCTTTTTGAGAGTTGTTTTTTTTATTTTTGTTTTAGGGACCTTATCGCAGGCACCCTATTTTCTGATTTGAAGGTATAAAAACCATCAAAATCTTCAGCATTAGTCTCCCTAGGCGACTTCGATTCGTTCCACTCATATCCAATTACCTGATCTAGAAACTAAGGCTTGTTCAGTTTAATTGGATTTTATTTCATCTTGTTTTCTCATTAAAAACTTGTGTAGATCATTGATCTAATTTCATCTTCTTATTTTTTTTCTTTTAGGTGCTTTCCTATATCGCGACAGACCTCTAACCAACACTACAAAAAATGTCATCTTTTCTCATGAGACTAGAAAAGCCCGGGTGGCATAGAAAATGTCGGTCCACACTTTTCTTTTCTCACTTGACTAGTTTTCACTGGTAGATAGCATCTATGTCTGTGCCCGTCCCACATACATAGGACCCTAAAGATCATCAAGCGGCAAAGTTTTCTTTGCTTCCAGTGTACTTTATCCAAAAAACAGATTGGCAAAAGTGGCTCACATATATTGGTTATATCTTCTGAGACTCGCCCGACAACTCATGCTACATATGGCTTGTTTGATTTGCAGGATAATATCCTTGTTCAATGGCCAAGTCATCTTATTCAAGAAACTCTTGGGAAGGCCGCTCTTTTACCATGCCCTCCTCATTTCCCTACAACTCGCCAGCAGACAGGCTTATAAATTTATAACATCATTGTCTTTTTCCGAATCAATATAGCGATCTCTACCTCTGTTGATGTCCTGTTTCAACTCTTTTTAAACCTTGCTGTCCCTGCGCATAAGTGTCTCGAAATAGTTTCCAACAATCGTATTTGACTTTATCTCACTTTCTGCTCATAGTCTCCAAACGTCTCATGACCAGCAGGATGCATCCAGCCTCAAAGCCAGAGGTGTTTGATCCGAGTGCACCTGGTGTTGGAAAGCAGATGATGCTGGATTGGCTACGAATAAATTTTCCATTGATTCCAGTCAATGGTCAACTAAGTAAATCCAAGATAGCCGAGACGGTCCGGGAGCAGCAGCCTGAGTGTTCGTAGATCCCATTTTCAACTTTCAATCATCGCAAATGTTTCTAACTCTCATTCAAATTACATATCTCACCTCCAACGTATCAAGTCTTTCCGGATCCTACAAGTTCATCACCGCCCCAACGATTTGATCAAAGCGGCACATCTAGCATGAACAATCCAGAGGAAGCGAAAAAAGACAGTTCCTCTAGTACGACTTCCATGCCACATCCTTCCGCCGTTTCTTCTTCTTCTAAAACTGTCAAGAAGGACTTGGGAGCCCATCCACCACCATCATCAGTTGCTCGTTTGGCCAAGCAATCAGTGTCAAATGAGACAGACAAAAACTCCAACAAGAGATCTGCAACTGGTACTGTATCTGAATTTGAAATCATGAATCCCCATACTTCACGGTAAGCTAATGGAACGATTGGCGTCTTTTACAACAACAGGGTCCCGTTGCGTCTCAAGTGTAACTCCAAAATCAAACAAGGTATATGAGCCTTGTTCCCTATCTTACCTACTGTGACCAAGTTATGCTGATGCCAAATCCAAGACCTCACATCGCTCAAAAAGCACAAAACCCACAACTACAGACGATGTTGAAGTTTCAGATGATGTTCATAAAGTCGAACTGTCTGGATCCACACCCCAATTTATCAGCTCACATTTGCTTGGGCCAGAAGGAGCACAGTCATTCATTAGTCCTGATCTGATCCCTCTTCAACACATGAACAAGTCATCTTTTCGTCGTATTCCACCAAAATCGCCTTGTTTGAAGACTCAAACTAACGATCTGGTCGATGTGGGCCCACAAAGTGCTGTTATCCCAAGTGTTACCAAGGTGAAATTCCATCCCGACTTGATTGAGTTTTTGGACCTCGATCTCTTTGAGACTGAAAATACGGGTGAGCTGCCTTGTCTAAATCTTCCGCATTGTATTTGGTCTGATTTAGTCTGACCTATCCCGCTGAAAAAAACAGAGACAGAGCCTGTCATACCTTGCCTTACAAACAGCGGGAAGCAAAGGTCAGGTGTTGATATTTTCTTGATGGAGCAACATCGCAATGACAAAAGTAAGTAAATTCCGCCTATCTTCTGATCTTATATCTCCTTTTCAAAGCTTGATCCACATTTGTTTAGTCTTAGGTCTTGAAACAGCTCTATCCGAATTGAAAACCAAAATTGAGATGACCGCAAAGTCAGATATTGATACAAAGAAAGCACAGCAACAAGGTACAAGTCGTCATCATCTTTTCGCCATAATATCGAAGCTGACCCCACCTGCAGATGATCTACTCCAAGGACTCAAAGCCGATGTCGCACACCTCAAAAAGAAGAGTAGGACAATTGATCAACTAAACGACAAAGTTGCCAGTATGGAGCAAGAACTCATACACCTGAAGGAAAAGTTAGATGAAGCTCTCTCAGAACTTCAAAAACAGGAAGAGATAATTACAAAGATGGTGAGCTTATCAGATTCTGAAGATACCGCCTCTGAGTAAACTTATGGTTCTAGACGTAAATCTATTACCGAGTCTTGGGAAAACAGATTTTACTTTTCATTTTGTTTCCATGATCCCGTCATTTCTATTATATCACCCTAAATAGCTATGAAATCTTAAATGTTACACTGAGCTGAAACTTGATCAATCGAGGAGCATACATATTCTCATGTACTTTGATTCAAATCTGCTCTTCCATTGAGATCTAAAAGATTTGTTCATTGTGTCACTCTTTAAATGTCCAAACCACTCTGACAGCGCTACCAACACAATTCTTGAATATTGACTTAATGCCCTTGCATTTGCTAGGGGATCATTATACAAATGAAAGAAGATGATCGAGCAACAAGTTCAGATTTGCCAAGTATTACAATCACGCTTGTCCTTGATCATAGGTAAATACAAAGGGGCACAAGCCACCCTGAGTGATCATTTGGATCCCCGACAAAGGAAAT